AATGGCAACACCACAGCCAATCACCAGCCACACGACCAGCACGCCGCGCTCGTTAGGCACCTGGTATTCCTGCAAACAATACTTCAAATTCAAGAGACGAGAAACTTCTTGGGCATTTTTGGAAAAAAAACTTGTAGGAAAAAGTATGAACGCCCAATTAATAGACCATTCCAAGAAAAAAAGACGACTACTGTAAGCAGAATATTTTACGAAAGAATTTTTAATTGAAAGTTTTATTTTTCCAATTTTATTACTAAACAAATTTATTTAAAACATAGCTATTGAGGTCATTAACCTCTACAAAACTTTGGATCCATCAATTTAAAATCACCCTGTATAAATTTTCTTTCTTTCAACATTCTTTAGTCACACAATCAGTATACGATACATATGATAGAAAGATGGCATACGAACCGTAATCCCCATTCTCCTGAGCCGAGTGGCAAATGGATCTTGTTCGAAGTACATCTGCCACATGTTGGTGAGATCCTCTTCATTTAGCCTGGGTTCCTGATCATCATCATACTCCAAGGACACGCCAAACTTGATCTCCACGCATTGCTCGAATTTGGGCCAGTTGTGGAAGCACTGCGCTCTGCTCACGATCTGTGTGGCTTCTAACCTGCAAGTTAAAAATCCTCTCCTATTATAGCTGTTGAGGGAAGGGGACGGGATATTTAGAGGCTAGGAAATGGCCCTATTTATCCTAATATGTTGGTAATTAATCAAATTCAATTTTAATACGTCGACATAAAATAACTTTTGGCATTGCTTGAACCATAACGAGATTGTGCTCTTCTAATTGGTGGAAGCCTAAATGGTAGTTGACAGAACTTTTGAATTACAGCTGTCACAATTTTAAACCTATCTACAGTTATGTTTTTCAATTTGTTCTTAAAAATAATGTTACTTTCGTTTTTTGATAAATGGAGCGTAATTTAAAAACAAAGTAAATGCGCAATTTTGCGACGCAGTTTATTTTAGTTTAACATTCGGCGTCGTTCCACCGGCCTGAATCCCGCAGCACTTGGCGCGCTGCCAAATGAGATACCATCGCCGTTCTGCGCACACCTGCATAACTGTCTCTGCCCGATGCTCTTTGCGACTCTGCACTATTTTTTTTTAAATTCTCTATTCCAAACACGCCAATATTCTTTGTAACTGGCACAAAAGAAAAACAATCACCCTAAAAGTCATTACGGTTGTTTGAAATCGCGACAAATCCCCTGTCAAAGCCGAAATGTAATTGACGTTTGTGAACGTTCGGAAAGTTAAATTCTTTTTAATTAATGTTCATTGGCGTGCAACTTTTTACTGTCAAAAAAAACAATTTGTGTAAGTATTTTTGTAATTATAATGCCATTGTTTTGGCAGAAAAATAAACCCTTAAGTCGAATGTTTGAAATCGCGCCAAAACTGCAAATATGGGTATGGAAGCCAAAAAATAATTACGTTTGTAAAGTTTTGAAAGTTATGACTGGTTAATTATTATTTGAATCATCGTGTTTGGTGTTAAATATTAAATGATGTGAGTCTGTACTTATTTTATGTTTATTTTACCTTTACCATTGCTAACCTTTCCCTGAAGCGAAATACATCATTTTCCATTTACCAACGTCATGCACACTATGAAGGATTGGACGGAAATTGCTCCGGTATTAGCAGGAAAGAAAAATAATATTAAATACCGTTAATGACTCTACGCTAACTAATTAATTTTAAAAACTAAATCTCAGCTAAATATTTACAAAGGACCCTTTGGTGTAAGATAAACTTATCAGTTCGGAAATAACGCAGACGGTAAATGATTTAAAACGAGATAACGAATTTGTCAACCTTTTATAATCTGTTATCTTTTTTGTTTCCTTTTGTGCGAACACGCGCTGAATTCGATTTTTAAATTTCTTTTTTTCTTAAATGGTACTACGCGACGCTGTTAGTGGCATTTTAATGTTGCAGTTAAATTATATATGAGATGATAATTTAAAAAAATCTTAACAAAGCAATTGTAGATAACATATGACCATGAAAAGTGCATTGAGCTATAAATAAAAGAGTATCATTTGTTGCGGTATCGCCCGCACTCGGGATATGTTAATAAACATTTATAAACCGACCTTCCGACGATAACTTCTATGTTACAATTTATTATATGACGCACGTTACAGCTTGTAAGATATATTGAAATTGAACTATTCATTATCTTATTTATGTTTATAAACTGAGTAACAAGAGAATGCATACTCTGTGGTTATCAAAGATTAAAAATTTTCCCGATTTAGGCACACATTATTTGACAATTCTGCCAACATATTAAATATCTTTCAGTACTTATATAGTCGTTTAAATTTAATTCATAAAAGACTTACCAAAAGGTGTTGCTGTAATTATCTTCTTAGTAAATATTTCTACATAACATTATCATATATTTTTCTATTTGAGACGGATTCTGCATACATCTATTATTTAGTTACATTATGATTTCTATCTAACGATCTATTAATTTGTATTTAAATAGTACAATAACGGCAGTCTTATTGAGAAATATTTACAACTTTTTGTAATGCGATATGTTTGACCGGGACAGATCTCAGACGATGCCAAAGTCTGCATAACCTAAAATGCAGCGAAAAAAATCGTCTCTCCAAATCTCATACAAGCTTTTCTTCAGCAAATTTAACAGGCGTTTTAGATTCATCTTTAGATTCCACGCTAGTAATGTTACCGGAATCATTATTATTATCGCTATCTCTATCTATCGCTACTGTTATTGCTGTTTCTATACTCTTCACACCGTTATTGTTATCTGTATGTTTATCTTCTTTTACGTTGAGATCAGCTTTCTTTGTGGCAGTTTTACGTAACGCGCTTTTCTCTGTACAATCTTTATTCTGCATTTGTGGATAATGATGCAGTATAGCTGTGGTGTTAAATGTTATTTTGCCATACTTAACGTATTCTTTTTGCTTCCTTTGTACATCTTTGCTTGTACAAGGCGCGTTGAATTCATCGCTGACTGGCGTTTCTTTTAATTTTACTTTATTATATTTAGGAGATACGTCAGTCTCGATTACATCTTTCGTTTCTTCTATTATATCTAAAGCGATTACTTTACTTTTTTTAATGTTCTCCATGTAAGCATTATATTTATTCATATCTACGGTATTGCTTTGTTTGAGTGGCAGCGAATTTGGCAATTTCTTCTGAGGTCTGTCCTCAGCCGTATATCACAATTGTTTCTGATCTGTTTGGCATTTGTTGAGTGTGGGGTCTGGTTTAGCCGCCGCGAGGTCGCAGACGGCGTTCATTAGCTATGTTTGCGACTGCACCATTGAAATGCTGGTCGTCTCGGTCGCGATGGTCGGCGCCGGGAATTCGTCCCCCGTCGAATCGTATATTGGGAACTCGCAGCACAACACGCATTTCAAAAACTTCGGCACTTCAACGTAAATAGCCGGCGGTATCGGTATCAAGGGTGACGTCGACGCCTTATAATACAAATAATCAGGGTTATCTCTGTACTTCTCGTCGGCGGATCGTTCCAGCAAAGGAATTCCTGATAAAAATAATATAATTGTCGTCGTAAATAACGGTGATAATACCGCGATGTATTCAATACCTTCGATTACGTTTAGTGATATTATAAAAAGGCCCCACCAAAGGACGACTTCGCCGAAGTAATTTGGGTGTCTGGAGAGACGCCAGAGGCCGTCGTTGCACCATCTGCCTTGGTTGGCTATCTCCTGTCTGAAGGCGAACTTTTGGAGATCCGCATAAGTTTCTATAAGCAATCCTATGACGAAAATCCCAGCGCCAGCGGAGTCGAGTGTTGTCATAGTTTTAGGTGCTTTTGGAAACGAATGATGAGGTGAATTCATGATGATTACTGGTAGACTGACGACGTACACCCAGACAGCTTGGAACGTATAGAATACAGCAAACCTTAGTGTATTACTTTTACGATCTTCGAATTGTTTATCTCTTCCTATATGGTATATTCTGTATATAAGATAGATAGATAGTCGTGCACCCCAGACGCAGACGAAGGCTGTGACCATCAGCTGTCGGCTATCGTAGTTCTTGAGGTGACTGCCTCCTTGACCGAGGAAGAACGTAAGAAGAGCTATTATGATAAAGTTGGCACCGCCTGTGAAATCTGTCACTTTGTCATTTTGAAATAACGAAGCGATTGTAAAGAACAGTATTTGCATTGCAACGGTTACCATCGCACTTATCGCGAAATTATTCCTATCTATTAAGGGCTCCATGTTTTTGTATATTTGACACTGATTTTATTTGGCATCGGAGAGTATTGGCTGTGGGTACGCGTGTCGCATTGCTGTTATTGTCGGACTCTACATCACTCGCGTTTTACACTGATGTTAGTTACGTAGAACATTTAATATTATTGTTTTAACTCATGGAGCGCGTGGTGTTTTATATAAAGCGTTGGTTACGCGAGCTTGGCACGCATGGAGGCATTCTACTGAAATAGACTTGACGTTTAATTCCGCGCATGCGTGGCAATTTTCAGAGCGCATGCGTGGAAAAAGCTCTGCGGAAAGGTACTGCGTGTATATACATTAATACGTAAAATTGTGAATATAGTTAGTTTAAAATCTCAATAATCATATATTAAACTCTGTCAAATTCGCAATTTTAATATCTCGATAGCTTGTTTCGACGAAGTGTCTTTATATTAAATTTAAACTTTAAAAAATTCGTAATAGTTTTATGACGTCACATATAGATAAGAGTTTTGTACAGGAAACATTTTGCTAATGAATAATTCGTAAAATGAATCATTTGACCGATGTTATTCTGCCTACTCATATTATAAATGTGAAAGTTTAGATGGATGGATGTTTGTCAGAGTTTATAGCCTTAACGACTGAACGGATCTCGATGAGATTTGGCATAGACGTAGATGATAGTCTGGAAGAATTAATGGGCTACTCACTTTTTTAATTTCACGTAGACGAGGTCGCGGGCGAAAACTAGTTTTGAATAATCCTAAAAATATATAAAGCGTTGGTGGCTCAGGGGTCTAAGCACTTGACTTGTAATCTACAGGTCTTGGGTTCGAATCCCACCGTACCAAAAAGTTTTTACATATCTGCGATGAAATTTTAAAAAATGTGAAAATGGACTACTGTGTTAGCGTTGACTGAGGCCTAGTCATTCATAACTCAGGTTACGCCCTCGCCCTGAGTAGGGACTTTAGTGTGGTAATGATTAAAATAATTTGTTTTCACAAACTGCATTATGGTTGTAATTACCTAATGTATCGCTTTTGTATATGCTAATTATAGTTTAAAAAAAACCTTTTTTGTATGGCTATTGAATATATTTGAATGGAGTAGGTGTTTGTTTAAATGAAAGCTGCGTTTTGTTTGCGAGCGGCATCTCATTTCGGGTTTATAGGTTATGCGTCTAACTGGGTCACTTGGCCACCTGTTTATCCCGACTAATTTAAAATGTATCTTTACATCATTGGTCGTAAACGGATATGGTACACACCGGATTTTGCAGTCTTATAATTTTGGAATTTTGTTATTCAACACGCCATTTTGTTGTGATATTTTTTATGTTTCTAATTTATTTTTAAATTGTGTTTTTTTACATAAGCACTAATTATTATTTACTAGCTTTTAATCGCGGCATCATCCGTTTTTCCAGACTATATTTTATATTTGGCACAAACATCGAAATCAGTTTCGTCGTTTTGGAGATAGTAACATCCAACCATCCATCCGTACTTCCGCATTTATAATACTAGTAACTAGCTTTCGCCCGCGACTCCATCCGCGCGAAATTAAAAAAAAAACAAAAGTGAGTATAGCCTGTGTTTTTCCAGACTATCTTCTACATCTGTACCAAATTTCATCGAATTCCGTTCAACAGTTTAGGCTACAAACTCTAACAAACATCCATCTAAACTTTCGAATTTGTTGTAATATTAGTATGAAGTATGATTGCACAATTTCACTATTTCTAATGCGTAACAAATGCTTTGTTAAATAAAGTGTTATTGTTTTACTTATCAATTTGGATTAAATGTCTACAGATGTAAGAATTGAGGTTGTAAATAAACACTGATAGTGTTCTGAATGATAATGAGATATTGACAGATAAATCCGAAACAAACAGTTGTTTTTATATATCTTTTAAAATAAAGATAGATTACATTTGAATTCTTCCATAAAACAGTAAAAAAAGTAATTTACAGACATATTACTTTTCGCCCGTGTCTCCGTCCGAGTGGAATTAAAAATAAACAAAAGTAAGCAGTCTATGTTTTCAGAATGCCAAATTACATCGAGATCCGTCAGAAGCGAGCGACATCGTTAGAAGCATCCGTACTTATATTTATACTAGCTGTTGCTCGCGACTTTGTCCACGTAAAATTAAAAAAACATACGCTATGTTACTCACAGATAAAATACCTTTCTAACGGTAAAAGATTTTTTAAATCGGCCCAGTAATTTTTGTGTTATTTCAATACATAAATATAAAAAAATTCTATTTATGGTATCCATGCTGGACAGTAACATTTTAATAAAAAGTACTTACGTTGTATTAAGTCCGTGTTCGATATTATTAGCGTTGATATACATGGTGGCCATATCAGCGATTATCTTGCGGAATTCCTCCACTTGCTGGTCGTTGAAGTTTTCAAGGGTTGTGCCTCCCAAGTTCAACGTGATCGTAGAATGTGGGAGAGGACGGATCGGCTCAGGGCTCGGCTCCGGTTCGAAATCGAAAGTGCTATGTCCTGTGAACAATTTGCTAGTAAATTAGTCAATACCTGGCATATTTGCATGTTAGGTACTGGGATGTGTTAACTCTAACGTGCTAGCTACTTTTCTAGTTGAATACTGGCATGCAATAAGTTATTACGGAATTAATTTTGGGACAGTAAAACCAGTATGATGAAGACAACGGGAGTACATTTGTCTATGACATGTCGCATCTCGTTGCCTACGATCTTGTAAATTGGCATGTATTCCAACCTATTGCATACGTCATAATTTTATACTACCGTGTATATACAATAAGTCTGTACAATATTTTGTCTCATATAGTTGTAACAGATTAGTAATATTTTTTATAATAGTGAACAGATAAACTCGGAGGTAAAAGCTAGTTGGTACATAATAATAGATAATAACATAATTGTAACAACATAATTAACTTAAATATGGCCTCCCGCCAGAATGGCGCGCTATTCTAATACGTCAGAATGACATTGACAGCTGTCATAGTGACGGGACGTCTTAACCGATGATGTTAGTCTTGCCCGATTTTCTTCCTAACAATACTCACTAAGTATTTTGACGCTGAAACTAAAACCCCTCATGAACTGCATCCCAGGTTTAGCTTCGAAACGAACGAACATCCGGTTCACGTCCAAGAATAAGTATTGACGCTTAGTTGCCAGAGTATAGGAGAATATTAGACCATTATTGCTAGATGAATCAACGCCACCTGTAATGAATAAAATATATTAAATAACACGCATAAAATTCAGAAAGTTAGGGTAGGGCGAGGTGGGGCGATTGACCGCCCTGGGCGCTGAAAGTATAGGGACATCGCAGACGCATAAAAGGGCGTCATGTCCATGACGTCTTTTTCGTATGTGTGTTGTATTAAAGTTATCGAATGCCAACACGCCCAAAATACATAAAATTTCTCATTCAGACAGAAATACGTTAAAGTAATGTTTAGAAACGAAAATTTCAAAATTTTCTTACCTGGTTTGACTAAAAGATAATCTCCAATGTGACCGTTGACGGCAAAATCAGTAATATTAAATTCAATACCCTCCCCATCTCCGTAGAATATCCAATCTATGATGTTATTAGTGGGGTAGTTACTGGGGTAATTAGGGGATGTTACCACCACGGGGTCCTCGCTTAATGTTATATGTATAGGAGCGATGTGTTTGTCGAAATTCTCCGATTTGAAATTGAAATCTTCGGCATGTTTGTGTATGAACTTTTCTAATACTTCATCGTTTTCGGATTTAACAACGTAATTATAATCTGTATCGTTTAAATTAAGTTTATTGTTGTCTGTTGTTTCCACTTTTGTAGTAACTTCTGGAATCATTTCCGCATCTGGTTCCTTAACTCCATCGCTTGGGCTTAAGGCGTCATTCAAATACTCTATTGGGTGTGGTTTATGTTTGCTTTCTTCTTCAGATCTCGTATCATCAGGAAAAGCCTCCTCTTTCTTCGTTTTCTTACCGAGTAATACATCTAAATTACCATCGTCTATGTTCTCGTAGTCACCAGCCAGATCTATATAAGCTTTATAAATTTCGTCCAATTCTTTTTCGTCATCAGAAACGGTGTCGTTAAATGAGTTTGTATCGTTCAAATTATCTGACATTTTACTCAAAGCTAACATATCGTCGTATGCTTCTTCGAAATTCTTCAGATTGTCTTCATCTACTTTTAAAATGTCTTCCAATTCTTTAGAATCAAATTTCTTTATCTCATCATCAAATTTATCGTCTGTGCTATTTAATATTTTTCTCGTTTCTTCTATTGTGTCATTTAAATTAGATGTATCTGTACTTAAAGGTAATACTTCCAAAAAGTCATTCTTACCCTCATCTTCTTTCAAAATATCCTTCGTTTCTTGTAATATTTCATCAGTTTTATTTTTATTTACATTATCCTGGTCCAATATGTCATTAGTATCTGCATCAAATTTATTAATAGGGTTCAATGGTTTTACTTTGTCATTTTTAGCATCCTTGGTGTCATCCAGAGACTCTTTGATTCTATTTAAATCAGCTACATCGGCTGCTATGTCTTCCAAAGCATCTAAACTATCATCCAAGCTTTCATCAGATTCCTTATCTTTATTTTCAATAGCAATTTCATCATCTTCGCCTTTAGAACGATTATCTTCGATCTGATAATCTTCTAAGTCGACGTCAGCGGAATCAATACCGAACTGATCTTCAACATCGCTTCTAAAGTCCTCTATTTCTTGAGCAACTTTACGATCATTCTCCGCTTCTATGTCATTTCGTATTTTATTCTCTCCTAAATTATCTTTGTCTTCTGAGCTGATGATGCCCAGTTTTTGTAGCTCGTCGTCATACCAATCGTAATTTGTATCGTCTTGCCAATAATCAGGGAAATGGTCTCCGTCTATCTGAAGAGCTGGAACAAAGAAATACATATTTATTTATGACTTTTATTTACTAGCCTGTACTTAAAGTAAACACGACCTCGGTGCTAAGGTTATTTTTACTTAGTAGTCTTTAGTCTTTAGAAGACTAAAGACTACTAAAGACACCTTATTTTTACTTTACTTCAAGTTAAAAATAGCGTATAAATAAAAGGAAAACATTTAATAATACAAACAAGGAAAGAGTTAAGAAAAGTTAACAAAAAACTAAGTAAGTTATGTTATTCTAGATGGTGAAATCTGTCTGTAAAATGTGAAAAATGTGTCTGTAGGAAAAAACATTGATATACGGCTTTTTTTTTCATTGTCCCGTCGTGTGCCACTCTCTGCTATCTGATTGTGTATTTGTAAGTCTATTTCATAGCAAGGTATAAGGCAATTTTTCTTAAGTGGAACACGGCGGATTGCCGCGATTGTACTATATAGCAAGCTATTTCAGGCCTAACATACAATGACATACTCGTATAGACCATTCACTCACCTATTGACCTATGATGCAAAATGGCGCCGATATGTGAAGCGAAAACTTCCACTAACTGCTATATGCAGTTGTTAGGTATATGATCCCACTTAGGTTAGGAGTCTACCCTAGGGGTGATGTTATAGTTCAGTAGTTTATCAGAATTTCTTTATATGTATACTGTGCATTTATTAAATTTATTTCGTTATTTCTTTTTTAATATTACAAGCTATTGAATAAATCTCAAACATTCTTCTATACTAATATAATAAAGTGTAAACACACACTACTTTGTGACGTAAGATGTCAGCAATCACAGCATACTTTTGAACAATTCTTTCTTTAATAAAAAGCCCTACACTTACGACACGCTTTAGGCTATATATTTTTTACGCTATTTGACTTGGGGGATAAATAAAGTGGAAAAAAATATTTTATCTGGGAAAGGGACCATTAACTACTAGATGCCATTAAGAAAGCAAGTTTGCCATGGTATGTCATCACATGTCATTTTGACGTTTGTAATTGATAATTTGACACATGTAAACAATAAAATAAAATTTTCATAATTTTATGCGGATGAAGTCGCACGGGAACAGCTAGTTAGTATATGTTTAAACTATCGTTTCAATCTAAAAATAATATGATTTTTATGTAACTTTATAAAGCATAAATAATTGTTTTATACAAGTTTCTTAATAGAAAATGTACAATTTAATTTTCCTTGTTTTCATCAATTTTGATTTGAACGCTGCATTAAATGACGTCACGGGGGCTGACGTCACGAAGTCCTACGTCATCTCAGATCTACGCGTTAAACTTTTAGGTTATGAAAGATGTTTTACGTGTTTATTTATTTATAATTATTGTAGAAAACGGATAAATATGATTATGTAATAATTTCCATTATAATGTTATCAGCAATAGTTTACAATTTGCGTTCGGGTTTTCCCTCGAGGTGAAATAAAACAATATTTGCTTAGACGTATATTATACCTTACAGACTATATATAATAAATTATTAATATTAAAGGTAAATAAAGTATTTGAATATGGTGGCTTGAGTTGGATATTCTTTTTACTCTACAATTAAAATTATATTCTGCGCTGACTCGAACGATATTCTGAGACGCCAAGTTTAAAAAAAAAAACAATCCAAATTGCACGTTTTCTTAAGTATATTGTAGTTTAAATAAACTTAAGTTTTTTTCATCTATAGTGTTCACAACCAGTGGTCCGCTGACCAAATCATGGTCTGTGAATAATTATAAATTTAACAATAAGGGAGCTCTCGCGTTAGAAGATTGCGGAAGTAATACAAGCCCTTAGGAAAAAGGCGCCCTTTATGTCCAAAGCCCTGGGCGGTCGCCCCACTCTGCCCTTCATCAACCCTGGTAATAGTGGTACATAAGTCTCTGCTAAAAATAATAATAAAAGGTTGGCAATCTCTGCTCTAAATTAACACAATAAATAGTATTCTCGTAAATCCGAATGGCATTTGCAATAACTACAAATACTTAAAAACATGATGCGTCATGTTATGAATCACATCTCAATCAAACTGGCAGCCATTTTGAAAAATATTGCTCGTAACTTCGTATTGTCATAATAATTTTTTTGACTATGTTATACGTATTTTAACTTATTTAGCTTGTTTTATTGTATGATTCTTTTGTTAATTTTTGGACAGAACAATTTGAAAACAAAATTAATCTTGTTAATCCAATATTTTCAACTGGTATTGCCCTTGCTAAATCCACTACTTTCTTTATTAGAGAAAGGTGGAAAGGGAATAAGGCATCCTGCTCGCACACTTAACTACTCATTTTTGATTAATGTATCATCATCTTGCCCTTATCCCTACAAAGGGTCGGCACAATATGTGTTGCTCCATACATCTCTATCAGTCATATCTGAATCCACTCCTTTCTTAAGCATATCCTCTTCACACAATCCATTCATACTTTCTTCCGTTCTTCTACCTTTGTAGCCACATTCATTCTTAACACTTTCTGGTTTATGTCCCGATCTCGTCGTATATGTCCATACTACGCTTTTGCTTCTCAATTTCTCCACCACTGGCGGTATTTTCAAACTTCCTCTAATATACAAATTCTTCTTTGAACAATGTATTCAGAATTTAATATTTCTAAATGATAGATTGCAATTGGCTCATAAAATGCTGCATATCTATAAGGGCCACAATTGTATTGATTAAGTCTCTTTGTTATCAACAATTGATAAATTAATAAGTCATGAAATTACAATTGAAATAAGGTTACTAATTATTGTATAACAATCGAGTTCACTTTCGAAAGCCACGTTTTCAGATGTTACAAGTAACAGTGACCATCCTAAGGGCCTGTCCCACCGAATTGTAAATAGTCTGATCTCCATCCAACGTGTAAATGGAATTCTTTATCTTATTTTTTTATTCACCGGGGTTCAGGTGGCCGAGCGCAAATGGCGCTTAGCCTAAACCTCGTTTATGTGTAACTAAGCTCGAGAGCTCCCTCACGAGCTCGACACATGCAGTTACTTCGTTATTATTACCGGATTGGGGTTTACCTTTTCGACAGTGACGTCATTTTTAAGCTATCTGAGCCTCTATCAGTCAGTGGTGGGACAAGTCCTAAGTAAATTTATTTAATTGTCCATACATTTGCGTAATTGTTAGTAAATGTATGTTTTAATAAACAGTAATGTAAAAATACGTGAGATATGTAAAGTAAAACTTTAGTAATGTATTACTAAACGAGAATATCGTAACAGCTGACATTAGTGTAGTATATTTATTTATAATTTTATTACAAACTCTATAAAATTATAATTATACTAGCTTTCGCCTGATACTCCGTTCGCGAGGAATTAAAAAAAAATCAAAAGTGAGTAGCCTATGTGTTCTTCCAGCCTGTCCTCTACATCTATGTTAAATTTCATTGAGATCCGTTCAGCTGTTTTGGCTACAAACTCTAACAAACATCCATCCACCTAAATTTTCGCATTTATAATATTAGTAAGTATGATTAGACGCAGGAGTAAAACAATATTTTTGGGATTAAAATTCCCACAAATAACATAAATTTCCTATTTTCTAATTCTAACCCTAAAATTTTGTAATTTGGGAAATAAAGAAAACACATATCGTCAGAAAGAGAAAAAAAGTATAGTAAAAGTAATATGCTAAATGGAAAAATAATAGATAAAGGTATAAAAACATTTAAAGATAAATTACTAATGTATCCTACATTTGAACCTAATTAAATACTAAAATTAATTACTACAGGTAATAACACATAGGGAAAAATAACAATTACTGTGATAATCCACCATTGCGATATTTGTACATCATTTTCCCTTTTGATTAAAAAGAAATTTAAGCATAACCACTGATAATACGAAACTTATTGTTTTGGTACAACATAGAGTAACGTAACATAGAGTAACAAAGAGTATGAATGCATCATAAACAAATATTGTAAACAGGATGCGGGTAATCCCTAACCGGATAAAATCCGGATGTAATCAGTTGCATAGATCACTCCGGGTGCGACGACCGGATAACGAAGAACTATTGCACAATATATCCCATTGAAAAACACGTCTTAATATTGTAAACTTCATATAATCAAGGAATATATTTTCATGTAATGGCCGGTTTACATTATTCCAGTCCAGCGATGAAAATCAGCGCTGGATTACACATGAATAGTTCGATGGTCAAAGGTAGGCTAGTGAAAATACTTTTACAATTTCAGACTCTTAAGAGCAGTAGCCTCCCTCTCTCTCTCTCACTCTAGGGGATGCTGCTGCCCTCCCCCTCCTGGAGACCGCCATGTTAAATAAATGTAAGCCCACACTGACTGGTCACAGGATTACAAGACTGGAATAATGTAGACCGAGCGTTACAATTACTATGTTATCATAAAAAATAACTACAATAGGTATATTTGCAACAAAAAGACTATAAATAGTGTATCTCGAATAATCTATTGAATTTACTTTGTAACCGTGATACAACTGTTGCGAATCAATTTTCTCTACGGTAATCAAACAGCCCAGGGCGCCGGGCATAAAGGGGCGCCGTAGTAATGTCGCCCAGGGCGGCGATATGCCAAAACTGACACCGAAACACCATGAGGGAAATTTATTTGTTGCAAAAATGCATTGATTCACGTTTCTTTTTACTTGTTTTGACAGAATTTGATGTCTGGTTTATACCAGATCGTAATCGGTATGAAATCGACCGAGACGTAGGACACAAACAGGATGGGTACATCTCAAAGCATAATACATCCAGATAAAAATAGAACGGATTAATTTAGATACACGTCCTCCTATAGAAGAATCTAGAACGCAACATCTGATTAATCACTCCTACATATCTATTTTATATCAACAAAACTTTAAAACAAATAATAATAATAAAACACCATCGCAAAACGGTTATGCGCGTCTTAATACACAACAGAATAAAAAAAATACATTGAAAAAACTATTAAAACACCACAGATTATAAAAAAATAAAATATTTAAAGTAAAATTACCTTGAACACTGAAAGATATTGATAAAAGAGCGATGTAAATCCAATATTTATCCATTGTTTTGTCACTAACTTGTGCGCGCACGCACGTCTGTGTATCACGGGTCGCGAGACCGCACTGAGGCGTTTAGTGATGACGTATCACTTCGTGTTATCATTAACGTGATAACAACCGATTATGATACCTTCGAACGTGTGATAATGCATCGCTTTCTTGTTAATGATAAGAAAATTTTATAGGAATGCTTTGATAAACATGTTTTCCTTTGTTCGCGTTTTTGGTTACTTTTTCATGTTTTAAAAATAAATCAATTACTCTACGACCTCGTCACAGCGTCGCTTAATCTATGATTCAATTCCTGGAACAATTCAACACTACTTCCATATTTATTTTCAATTTTATTTACACTTTATTCGTCCATTTCTATTAGTTCACATTTTTTACACTAATTGAATCACTCATAGATGTCTCGTGTTTACTTAAACATACCCTTAGTACAGACTTTGATACTAAATCCATACTGAGGGATCTTGTACTGAGAAGTTCAGTTCAAATCGTAAATTTAAAACATCTTATTTAATCGGTTATGTTTCGTTCGTTCGTTATTTAAATTCTTCTTGTATGTGAGAAAACGTTTTTTTAAACCATCAATTATTCAACAGATAAGTGTGTGTAGAAAATGCACTCAATTTAAATATATTTTTAATTTCCATTGTAATATAATTGTAAATAAATATTTTGCCAAATTGCAGAACGTATAAGAAAGTCATGTTTCTTAGTAACATTATAAATGGAAAATTGGATGGATGTTTGTTAGGCTTTGTAGCCTAAACTGCTGAAAGGATCTCGATAAAATGTAGTGTATAGCCTAGAAGAACACTTAGGTTACTAACATTTCTTTTTATTTCCACGCGGACAGAGTCGCGGGCGAAAGCTAGTATTAATATACATAAAATCGGGAGCGACCGCTAGTATTAACAGAGTTTGGTTCTACTAGTTGACGTCATAATTTTGTTTACAGATGTGACCTTGAGCGGAGAGTGTGACTCAATCTGAAACACTGGTGTACGTTGACAAGAAAACATCTAAAAATGGTTGACTATTACCTTGAAAAAAATAGATTTAAGTATAAATGTTAAATAAGACAGATAACATCATTTTTACGCTGAGTTTTATTAAGAAATTAATTTTTTAGGAAAATTTCATGGACACTGCGTAAATGCAAAAAATAAACAAATCATAAAACAATGTACTGAAATCAAAGAAAACTGATATAGTAACATCTATTTAAAAATTTAAGATTAGCAAAAAGCCAACATCACGCGGTGTTCCCAGGCGGTCACCCATCCAAGTACTGACCGCGCCCGACGTTGCTTAACTTCGGTGATCGGACGAGAACCGGTGTATTCAACGTGGTATGGACGTTGGCGAAAGCTGCAGACAAATAGATCAACGTAACTGTAGAAATGACGTCATTATAAAATGCATATACATAACAAAAAAAACTTTGTTTTTGAAATACAATAAGAATTAAAAACACTTGAAATACTGTAATAATTTGTTGTATTCAGTATATTTCATAACTTCATTACAACAACAATAATTGATATTTTAAAGTGCATTAGAAATATTTATTTTAGAGAATTGAAATATCAAAAATGACGTCATTTATACAATTATGTTGATCTATTTGTCTCCACCGTTCGCCAACGTCCATACCACGTTGAATACACCGGTTCTCGTCCGATCACCGAAGTTAAGCAACGTCGGGCGCGGTCAGTACTTGGATGGGTGACCGCCTGGGAACACCGCGTGATGTTGGCTTTTTGCTAATTTTATAGTTATTTTGTTGAAATTTTATTTCAACTTTCTTATTTGCAACCACACATGTAAACTTCACCAGATTTTTATTTTGCTTTGTTATAACAACTTGATCTGCTTCATTTTGCATTTATGCAGTTTCTTTTATATTTTCCTACCAACTTCATTAAGCATAAAAACAAATTCTATCCATTACCTGTCTTATCCGACGCCTAAATTTTAATCTTTTTTTTACATCCCACAGCATCATCTCTTAGAAAAAAAAATATTATATTTTAAACAACTAATTACCAAAAATTTGTAATAGATGGCGCTGTTTGATTTTGATGATTATTTTTTTAATTACTTGTTTTATTTTTAGAAAGCTTTATCTACATAGAGGTATTCATTATTTTTTCAGGTATCGATGAAACAGCAAACCGAACTTTTCGTAGAAATATCTCATCACGCGCACAAAGTACATCATCCTAAATAATTTACTAAAGAATACAAAAAACTTGTAAACGCTATGCCTAAAGATCTAATTATATGTTGTAAAATATATAAAATATCAATAAAAGACGAACAAAGGAGTGTTTAAACATATGAAAAGTTTACATTTTCTAGTAATTTCAATTATAGAATTAGGTATAAGTTTGTAATAAAATCGATTTTATAATTTTAATAAATGCTTGTGGTATTTCAAAGGTATTTTTGTTCTTATTTTATGTCTAATTTTTTACTGTATTTAAATAACCATCGGAAAATATTGAGTTTTTGTTTCAAAAATGAACCTAACTACTTCCAACGCCATATGTTATCTTTAGAAATAAACTCAAATGTTGATTTTTCTAGTCTGTTTAAACAAAGTAATTGAAAGTCTACGTATTAATCTATACCTTTATTATAAAGAGAAAAGAATTGTATTTTTGTAAGTATTGAAATAACTCAGAAACTACTTGGCCGTTTTTGGAAATTATTTTACTGTTAGAAAGGTAATTTATTTGTGAGTAACATAGGCTATATTTTTTAATATTTTTTTTATGTTTCTCGCAGACAAAGTCGCGAGCAACTGCTAGTATGCTAATATATAAAACGTAAGTTCATAAAATTAAATTTTAACTTACTTTTAAATAATGTTTAAATCGTTAACGATTACTTTTAAAAGTAAAAATTAAAAATGTTACCATTATTTTTTGTTTCATTATAATATTATGTAATAACTATTTAAAATTGTATAAAAGACAAATATGAAAACGTGTTTTTTTAAATTACCACAAGCACAATTAGTTTAATGAGGTAATGAGTTCATATAAGGTTTTTATAAAATAACATCTATTTTTTATCCGCAAAGAAATTAGTTTCAAATTATTACGCAATATAGCAAAGTTCTACTAATATTATAAATGCAAAAGTATGAACGAATGTTTGTTACTTCGTACTTCTGAATATTGATAAAAATCACAGATATAGAAAATAGTCTTGAAGAGCACATAGACTACTAATCAAAAATATTGAGTACCCCCTTCTTTTGGGAACTTGGTCAAAAAAACTAGCAAAAAGCCAACATCACGCGGTGTTCCCAGGCGGTCACCCATCCAAGTACTGACCGCGCCCGACGTTGCTTAACTTCGGTGATCGGACGAGAACCGGTGTATTCAACGTGGTATGGACGTTGGCGAACGGTGGAGACAAATAGATCAACATAATTGTATAAATGACGTCATTTTTGATATTTCAATTCTCTGAAACAAATATTTCTAATGTACTTTAAAATATCAATTATTGTTGTTGTAATGAATTTATGAAATATACTGAATACAACAAATTATTACAGTATTTCTTTTAACAAGTGTTTTTAATTCTTATTGTATTTCAAAAACAAAAGTATTTTTTTTTATGTATATGCATTTTATAATGACGTCATTTGTACAATTATGTTGATCTATTTGTCTGGAGCATTCGCCAACGTCCATACCACGTTGAATACACCGGTTCTCGTCCGATCACCGAAGTTAAGCAACGTCGGGCGCGGTCAGTACTTGGATGGGTGACCGCCTGGGAACACCGCGTGATGTTGGCTTTTTGCTAGTTTTTTTTTTTTGTATATTTAACTAACTTTTGCCTGACATCGCGCGAAAATAAAAAATAAACTTGATTTAACTAATCAAGTGAATATCAGACTATATTCTACATCTGTGACTTTCCTCGACATTTGGAGATACGTTAACATTTGCAATTTGCTTTATAACATTAGTAGTTTTGCAAATTACGTAATAATTTGAAACTATTTTCTTTGCGAACCGTGCATAGTAATTAGAATTAATAAAAGTTATTTTATTAAAAACCTTTTATGAACTTACTAGTTCCAATTATGTTTGTGGTAATTAAAAAACACGTTTTTTTAATAATGTCTTTTATTACGTTATCAAATTATTACAATACAATTTAACAAAATTATTACAAATTTTATAAAGAAAAAACTACTGGTAACATTTTTAGTTATTAGTTATAACAATGTATCCAAATTTAATTTAACAGCACATATGATTCACATTTTAAACTTTGAATTATTTCGTTTAGAATGACTAGAAATATCAACATTTGAGTTTATTTCTAGATATCTCTAGAAATAAACTCAAATGTTGTATATTATCATAGATGGCGCAGTTTATTCTTTAAACGGAAATCTGTCAATACTTTTCAACACTTACTATTAAAATACAGTCAAAAATTACACAAAAATTAAGTACAAAAATACCTTTGAAATACCATAAATGTTTATTAAAATCTGCAACCGATTTTATTACAAAACTTCCCCTAATTCTATAATTGAAATTACTAGAAAATATAAACTTTGTATATCTTGAAACACTTATTTGTTCGTCTTTTATTGTTATTTTTTATATTTTAGAACATATAATTAGATCGTATACTTAACGTGGAAGCTATATTAAAATATTTAGGCATTGCCTTTAAAAGTTTTTTGTACTCTTCAGTAAATTCTTCAGGATGATATATTTTGTGCGCGTGATGAGATATTTCTACGAAAGGTTCGGTTTGCTGTTTCTTCGTTACCTGAAAAAATAATGAATACCTCTATGTAGATATAGCTTTCTAAAAATAAAACAAGCAATTTAAAAATATTCAACAAAATCTAACAGCGCCATCTATTACACATTTTTGGTAATCAGTTGTTTAAAATATAATGTTTATTTTCTAAGAGATGATGCTGCGAAATATAAAAAAGATTTAAATTTAGGTGTTTGTTTTTATGCTTAATTAAGTTGGTAGGAAAAGATAAAAGAAACTGCATAAATGTAGAATGAAGCAGATCAAGTCAATTAATGATAACATAGTGAAATAAAAAACTGGTGATGTATACATGTGTAAATAAGAAAGTTGAAATAAAATTTCAACAAAATTACTATAGTAATTTTGTTGAAACAATATTATAAAATGCATATACATAACAAAACATTATTTTGTTTTTGAAATACAATAAGAATTGAAAACAAATGTTACAAGAAATACTGTATTAATTTGTTGTATTTAGTATATTTCATAGATTCATTACAGCAAAAATAATTAACACTTTAAGGTGCATTTGAAATACTTATTTCATAGAATTAAAATATCAGAAATGACGTCATTTGTACAATTATGTTGATTTATTTGTCTGCACCATTCGCCAACGTCCATACCACGTTGAAAACACCGGTTCTCGTCCGATCACCGAAGTTAAGCAACGTCGGGCGCGGTCAGTACTTGGATGGGTGACCGCCTGGGAACACCGCGTGATGTTGGCTTTTTGCTAGTTTTTTTTTTGTTTATCTAACTAGCTTTTGTCTGTGACATCGCGCGATAATAAACTTTATTTAACTAATCAAGTGAATATCAGACTTTCGGCGACATTTGGAGATACGTCAATATTTGCCATTTGCTTTATAATATTAGTAGAGTTGTACATATTGCGTTATAATTTGAAACTAATTTCTTTGCGGACAATAATGAGAAGCTATTTTATAAAAACCTTTTAACAACTTACTAGTTCCAATTATGTTTGTGGTAATTAAAAAACACGTTTTTTAATAATGTCTTTTATTACGTTATGAAATTATTACAATACAATTTAACAAAATTATTACAAATTATATAAAGTAACAACTACTGGTAACATTTTTAGTTATTAGTTATAACAATGTAGCCAAATTTAATTTAACAGCACATATAATTCATATTTTAAACTTTGAATTATTTCGTTTAGAATGACTAGAAATATCAACATTTGAGTTTATTTCCAGAGATAATAGATGGCGCAGTTTATTCTTTAAATGGAAAACTGTCAATACTTTCCAACACTTACTATTAAAATACAGTCAAAAATTACACAAAAATTAAGAACAAAAATACCTTTGAAATATTATAAATATTTATTAAAATCATGCAACCGATTTTATTACAAACATAAAACTAATTTTATATTTGAAATTACTAGAAAATATAAACTTTGTATATCTTTAAACACTTATTTGTTCGTCTTTTATTGTTATTTCATATATTTTAGAATAAATAATTAGATCTTATACTTAACGTGGAAGCTATATTAAAATATTTAGGCATTGCCTTTAAAAGTTTTTTGTATTCTTCAGTAAATTCTTCAGGATGATGTATTTTGTGCGCGTGATGAGATATTTCTACAAAAGGTTCAGTTTGCTGTTCCTTTGTTACCTGGAAAAACAATTAATATGTCTATATAGTTATAAAGCTGTCTAAAAACACAAGTATTTAAATAAAAAAAAAACCATCAAATCAAACAGCGCCATCTGTTATAAATTTTCAGTAATTAGTAGTTTAACATTGTTTCTAAAAGATGGCGTTGTAATGAAATGGCAAAAGTAATAAATATTGGGCAGCGCCATCTAGGTGCATTAAAATCAACAGTAGGATAAGTTACTAGTACATTTCTAAGAGATGGCGCTGTTTACATTCTATTTCCAAAACAATAATACTTACATTAAATGTCAAAGTAAATTCCATAGGAGTTAACATATCTGAATAAGTACAGGTAGCCTCAGTAATGACGTAGATATTTCTATTCAGGAACTGTCCAGTTGCTTCCAATGGCGATGAGAACGACCAGCTCGTTAAATTAACTCCGTAATTTGGGAAAAACGTTAAAGTATTGTGTTGTGGACCTGGAAAATAAATTATTATCATACTAATACTATAAATGTGATAGTCTAGATGGATGGATGTTTGTTAAAGTTTGTGGCCTAAACAGCTGAACTGATTTTGATTAAAATTGGTACAGATGTAGAGCAGTCTGGAAGAACACATAGGCTATTCACTTTTGTTTCTTTTATTCCACGGGGACAGAGTCGCGGGCGAAAACTAGTATGAAATAAATGCGAAAGTTTAGATGTATGTTAGAGTTTGTATAAACTGCTGAACGGAACTCGATAAAATGTAGATGTAGAGGAGAATCTGAAACACATAGGCTACTTTTTTTAATTCCACGCGGACAGTGTCACGGGCAAAAGCTAGCATTAAATATATTATTGAAAAACAGACATAAATTATAAAATTACCATAGCCATTAGATAAAAGTGTTATCGTATATTATAACTAAAACATATTTGAAACACAGTTTTTAAAGTTATTGGCCTTTTTGTGGCATATGTGTGAAATATTTAATATATTTACCAGTCATAATACATTTGAGAGTACAAGTATCCTGGCTGCAGCTCCTGGTAGCAACAAGCGAAGGTTCAGGTCTGAACCTCGCCGGCGGGTCCGTGTACAGGAACAATAAATCTTTTCTGTACATAATTTTATAATTTACTTTAATATAAACACATTTTAAACGTTTAGGAACTCAAAAGTTATAAAACTACTGAAAAATAGATACATAAAGAATCTTATTGAAATTTTTATTAATATTACTTGTGACGATTTCAACTAAGATACCATTTCTAAGTTTAATAAATACGCCATCTAGCGGAAAAAATTCTACAACTTTCTATTAAGGCGTCATCTGATGAAAAACATTTCATAAAAGCGCCATCTAGCGAAAAGTTATTATATTTTATTGAAACGCGATATAATGAATGATTACATTTTTATAATATCGCTTTGTGGAAAAAATTGCTAAAATTCTAATAACAGCGCCATCTAGCGAAAAATCGCTACAATACTAATAAAAGCGCCATCTAGTACAAAATTGCTATGATTACGAAAACAAACTATTACATAGAAAATTCTGTAAATAAAAAACCAACAATAATAAAATTTACTCACAAATGTTGTGCAAACCTTGGTCTGTAAAGCGGCAGGTTGCAGTACACGTGTCTCTCACAATCCGACGTGAAGTCCGTCACATTGTGAACTGAGAGGCGCGCCTGCTGCAGCGCGGACAACACCCCCGTCAGAGTGTACGCATCTTGTTTTATTATTAAAACTCCTGATTTATAATCTGTTGCCGAACCATTTTTATCGTATGTTATTATTTCTGAATGCTGGAATAGTTAAAGATATTTCAAGATGGATGGATGTTACTAAGTATCTCCAAAACAATCAAATATACAAAGAAATTAGTCACAAATATAAAAAAAAGTCTAGAACACAGTTTTTAAATTCCGAACAAAGTCACGGACAAAAACTAGCATAATGTTCGTAAGATACAAGTTTCTTACTACAATTGGGTTGTTTTAGCTAAAGCTTTATTCAACTGGCTGTTGCGCGCGACTTCGCCCGAGTGAAAATAGTTGAAAAAGGCCCAGTAGTTTTTGAGTTATTTCAAGACATACAAAATTATTTCCTATTCACAACATTAATATAGACAAACAAGAAATCCATATCTTACGAACATTTTGTCAAAACCACGACAGTTTAGGGCCTGTCCCACGATTGGCTGATAGAGGCTCAGATAGCTTTATGACGTCACTGTCAGATAAGGGAAATAACAGTGGTAGTGCCCGCTTTAACATGTTAGCAGTGCAGGGTTCGCCCCCAGTCATACCACGACCACACAAGACAGGCGTGAAGTGGAAGCAATTCCGTGTACAGTCTGATGAGTGTGGTGCCGGAGACCTATTTTAAGTCCCTTTCTTTTTACCACCCTTTCTTATAAGGAGAAGTTGGGAAGAGGAAGTGGATTTGACGGTGGGGGAGATGCATAGGAAGGGGAAATATCCTCTTTATGTGCGTCTCCTCCTCCGTCAATGAAGGATAGGCAACGCATCTGCAATTGCGGATGTCTATGGGCAGCGGTCGCTTCGCCATTTTGGCCGATAGGTCGTTTGCCACCTTATTTTAAACATATCAGACAATTTACAATTTGGTGGAACAGGACCTTAGAGTAATTAAAAGCAAAAAATACTTACAAACCAATAATGTCTTTGTGTGGTTATACCCTCATCTTCATATATAGACATGGGAGTAAACATAAATACTGCACAGATACTTGATAATAATAATATTGGTAACCACACGCGTCTACGAGAGAATAACAATTCCAGCCCAGACTGGAATTATAAGAATTTTGTTAAATCATCAAAATCAAATAAAAATAAATATCTCTAGTCTTATTTAGAGACAAAAGTATTAAAAAAAAAACTTTTTTTTTATTACAAATTGAACTAGGTTAGTTATGAAGTGGGAAAAATAAAAAATCTTCAGATTTAAACCTATTTTTAAGTATGATAGATTAAAAAAATCAAATAAAGCAAAGTAATACAAACTATAATTTTTAGTGGACATTTAAAAATAATTTCTAAATAATTGTATTTTAACATGTAATGAAGTATAATTTTTTTTTTACAATCTTAATTTTTTTTAACCGACTCAAAAAGGTTAGCAATTCGTCTATTTTTTTTATTATTTACTATTTTTTGTGTTCTCTCTACAAATGTAAAATTACCTGCTATTGAAAAATCACATTTTTTTATATATAAAACATAAAAAAACCTACCAAAACAGTAGAAAATAACAGTGCTAGTATAACATTTAGTCCACCCACGATGTAATCTGGATAGTTAGTGGGCATCCGCCCAGCAGTGGACAACATTATTGAGTCCAGACGTAAAGATAACGAAAATATGAACAATGCTGATGGCAACGTTAAAATAATTTCTAATATTAAATGTTGCCATGCTGGAAAAAATAAAAAAATCTTTTAAGGTATTTTTTTGGTTAAATTGAACATCTTTTTATACAATAAAGGATGGATCAAACTTGTCAGATGTCTGTTTCTCTCTATTTGTTAGAATAATAAAAAAAAATAGTAGTAGTCATATCATATGTTTTTTGTTATTTTTTTAAAAAAATCTTTTTATTTTTGAAAAAATAGACATGTATATTAATGGCATGGTGTTTCTATCTTTAAGAGATAATTTTTACCGACAAAAAATCATTAAAAAATATCACAAAATACGACATAAGTATAAGAATTACAAAACTACTCACCTTTTAACCTGCAATATTTGACAACAGTCATTGACACCATGGCACCGACTGACATCACAAACAATGGCACACTGATGACATACCGCAGGCTTGTCAGGGAAGGGAATAGTGACAGAATAATTAAAGTGACTCCTAGTAGTAAGCGAGTTGATGTCATCGCTTGTAATGTGTGGAGAGAACGGTTTAGCCCGCACTGAGAAATATAAAAAAAAATATGAACTAGCTGAAAAAATTGCTATTATATGTAAAATAATGTGAAAAGTATGATCTACTTAGAGTTGTTAAGTCACTAAGTTCTTTTAGTGAAGTTTTATTAAAGCTAAATCTATACTAAGAGATATTTAAATAGTGTGAAAATAAAAATTAAAAAAAAAATATTTTTTAAATATTTTGAGACTTTTGTAGTGTTTTACGCACAAAGATTTTACAAGTTCAATCATTTTAGAAAACACGACAAACAGACAAAAAGTGTTTTTTATATGTGAAAAAAATGTTACCTTCCTACTTGTTGATTCATAATTGACGGATGCCAAAAAAGAAACAATAAAGAATGGAATCCAATACAATGGCACCACTAGCCAAGGTCTTGAAAGATATCTGTAAAAAAATAGTAACAAAAATCATTTTTTGGATAAAAAATGACAAAAAATTGCTTATTTTTTTAAAACCTTGAGGTAACAAACGTGAAACGATCTGAATTTGCCAAAATAGCGTAAAGAGCGTAGCGTAGCGTTACCTATAAATCGACGGAGGAGAGGACGCGCAGAAATAGGATATTTCCCCTTCCTAAGCGTTCCCTTTAGACATAAATATAACGGTATTTACAACAAAAAAAACATACATGAGAAATACATTTCACTATAATTTTTTTTTCTCTTTCTAGATTAAATCTAAAACTTACCTAAGTTGTTTCGTAGTGATAGCCATAATAAGCACTAATAAAACTACAGCCAACACTCCCGTCGCTGCCGACACCACTCTGCCCAACATGCTTGATAGTAAGTCCATTACTGAAGAACGCCCTGTTTATAAAAAAAAAACTTGTACAATATAATGATTGTAAAATAATAAAATTAAAAGTTACGAGAAAAAATTAAAAATATAAAAAAAAATTATATTCATTATAAAAAAAAAACTAAATATATGTATTTTATTGAAATTCATATAAAAATTTAAAATAATTAATTTGATTCGTTTAAAAAACATAATAGTGTTAACTAATAAAAAGTGACGATTTGTAGTTTTGTTTGTAACCAATAAACTCAAAAACTACTGGAGGTAATTAAAATTTTTTTGCACAAGTACAAAGCTATATTATCCCTGAATGACATAACACATGTTTTTTTTTAAAAAATCTACGGTAATTAATAAAAAAAAACTTACTATATCCAACAATCCATAAATAATATGCCACTGTAATTAACGCGCATATTCCTACTAAAATATCAACAATTTGTGACACAGAGGCCGAGTATGTCAGTAAAAAAAGATTCAAGTAGTCGAAATATACCACTTGTGTAGGAGATATCTGTAAAAAATAACTATACTTATATTATAAGGAAGAAAGATTTGTATTTTTGTATGTAACTTAAATACTATTGGGCCGATTTCAAAAAACGTTTTTTTTATATCATAAGATAAAAGAGCAAGTGGCTACCTGAATCCGCCAAAATGGCGAAGCGACTGCCCATAGACATCTGCAATTGCAGTTGCGTTGCCTACCCTTATCCGACGGAGGAGACACACATAAAGAGGATATTTTCCCTTTCTATGCGTCTTCACCGTCAAATCCACTTCCCCTTCCCATCCTCTCCTTATGAGAAAAGGGTGGTAAAGAGAAAGGGACTTAAATTAGGCCACACAATTTTCACAATTAAAAATCTACGTTAATTCAGACATTTTTTAATTTCACTCGGACAAAGTCGTGAGCAACAGCTAGTAATAAACTTAAAAACTTGAAAAGATTTCAAAGAATATCTTAAATATTGTGTAATGACGAAATTAGTATTTTTAAATTTACTTATATCAATCACAAAAAAAAATAGAAAAAATAAATTGGTCCTTCGAGTCGGATATTTAGAAAAAATAATTACAAAAAAAAAAAACAATTCACCTTGTTTTCTAATTCTTCATTATTAGCTAATTCCTTGACTAGATTTAACAGCATATTGCCTGCATTTTGTATGACACCATCCAATATAAGTTCTGGTCTGTCATTTTTCGTGTGATATACATTTCCCCATTTTACAAACGCTATATCCAAACCTAAAAAATACGTCAATTATAATAACGCACATAACCCAAAGAGGTGGGCAGAGACTTGTGGGTCTCCCAGGCATGCAGACTTTGCTATTGAGATAAAGTATTTAAAATCATATATGTAAAATTGTAAAAATAGTTAACTACGAGCTGTTGCCCGCGACTTCGTCCGCGTGGTATTAGAAAACATACAAACTATATAAATTACAAAAAGCTACGTATCCCTCGGGAACCGGACATTTCGGGGATGAAGTTTGTCCCATGTGTACTCCAGACTTTTATATCTGTGCCAAATTTAAATAAGATATGTTGAACCGTTGCAGAATTTTCGAGTAAACATTAAAAAACTAAATTAATGAGTCCCACGGGAACTGTAACTATTCCCGGGATAAAAAGTAGCCTATGTGTTCTTCCAGACTATGCTCTAAACCTGTGCCAAACTTCATAGAGATCCGTTAAGCCGTTTAGGCTACAAACGCTAACAAACATCCATCCATCCATCCATCCATCTAAACTTACGCATTTACAATATTAGTAAGAAGTAAGAAGTAAGATAAGAATCACAAAAACTACTGAACAAAAAAAAAACAAAAAATGATATCTTTAGCTGTAATGTGTTTTTTTTTTAATAATTCCAGTGAAGGGAATTGACATAAGTTAACCTCCAAATAATTTAGAATCGAAATAAATATATTTTGGACCATAAAAATAAACTGGCAGTTATAATTTACTGAAATATATCAATTTGTGAATGGATTCATCCGTGTGCGATTTTTTGCGATTTTTTTGCCACCAAAAAGTACCTAATAACGTGTCTCAAAAAAATACAACTTCAGAACCATATCTTAAGTTGAATAAAAAATCCTAATGACGTCACATGTAAAAAAAAATCTCACCATGTATATCACCAAAATCCCTCCAAATTCTGAAATCTGTATCAGACGGTATAATACCAGTTTTGAAGAGAAACTCTCCAAAACCTTGGGCATTCGGTTTTGGTACCACACTTTGATATATCGAAATTAGTCTAGGATCTGATACCTAAAAAAAATCGTTTTTTTTTTTTAGGTCCAAAAATTCCGACCCGATTACTATTTTATTAACCTAAATGTGTATTTAAACACGAAAACAAAGATTTTTTCAAGTAAAGTTTACAAAAAAAAAAATCTAAAAAAATTTACACTGCGTGTTTCACATCAGAAAGAGACAACATAATCGTATAGCGTTGTCTCTGTCGCACAACGCGTGACGTCACTTACTTGGAACACAGTAGGCTTGCCATTCATCCCCGCCGCGTCTAAATTCACCACATTTGTGACACCCTGTATCCAAGGGTGCTTTAAAAAGCCATGGCTACCCTGAAAAAAAAACTGTATCATTTTTTCAACTATAGTGCCTTTTGCTTGGGACTTCTTCCGGGGAATAAAAAAACATACATATTTTATGTGTTCTTCATCTGTGACAAATGTCATATAGATCGAAGTCACGGGATAAAGCTAGTATGCGAATAAAGTAATTCTATAAAATATTGGAATGTATGATTTTTTAAAGGCTCCAAAACTAGTAAATCGGTTTTAATTAGTAATAAATGTGTTTTTTTCTTATCTTTTACGATTTATTTACGACTAGCTTTCGATCGCGACTCCGTCCGCGTGGTATTAAAAAAAACAAGTAGCCCATGTGTTCTTACAGGCTATCCTCTACATCTATACCAAATTTCATTGAGATCTATTCAGCCGTTTCACATTTATAATATTAGTATTATTTTTTACGATAAAATCCAACCTAAATCCAACTTAAATTGTTTAATTTAGAACTCATATTATTTAATACCTGTAAAGGATTTTCTTCAGCTCCATTGAAGAGAAATACAATATTATGTTTTAATTTTTGTTTCCTTTTAGACAATCTACTGAGAGTTTCTAACATTACTGCACAAAACACACCATTATCTGAAGCACCTTGAAGTTAAATAAAAAAAAATATGAAAAAAAGTGAAATAGAAAAAACAGTACAAAATTCATATTTCATCGCTCTCTTTTGCTCTACCTATACTTTACATCTTTCGTCTCTTTCGTGTAACGAAATTCACATAAATGTGACGGGAAAAAATATTTTACCTCAAACTTTACAAAAAAAAAATCAGTGTCAAAGGTCATTTAAAAAAATATATAGGTTTTTTTAATAATATATGGTGACAAACGAGCAAGCGGCTACCTGAATCCGCCAAAATGGCGAAGCGACTGCCCATAGACATCCGCAATTGCAGATGCGTTGCCTACCCTTATACGACGGAGGAGACGCACATAAAGAGGATATTGCACCTTCCTATGCGTCTTCACCGTCAAATCCACTTCCCCTTCCCATCCTCTCCTTATGAGAAAAGGGTGGTAAAGAGAAAGTGACTTAAATTAGGTCTCCGGCACCACACTCATCAGACTGTACACGGAATTGCTTCCACTTCACGCCTGTCTGTGTGGTCGTGGTATGACTGGGGGCGTGCCCTGCACTGCTAACATGTTAAAGCGGGCACTACCACTGCTATCTTGTTGTTAATCGAAGGTGTTTGTCATTTTACTTACCAATAGCAAATGGAACGGAGTCATAATGACAGTTAACTAACAATGACGTGCCGATAGTGCCATTGGGATAGAAGCCACTATCTCCCTCTAACACTGCGATAATATTTGACAAGTTGCGATAACAATTAACATGCGGAACTTTAAAATCTATAAAGTAATCACCTAAAAAAAAAATTACAAACATTGCTTTCTAAAAGTTGAAAAATCTGAAAAAAATAGTTAAAACCACACTGGAATTCAAATTTTCAGAAATATTCAATTTAAAACTGACATATTTATTTGTCTTACTAGTTGCTCAGGATTTCGTCTGTGTAACATAAAAATGTAGCCTTTGTTACCCTGAAAACATAGCTTTTTAATGATGAAAGAATTTTTTAAATCGAGTCAGTTTTTGAGTTATTTCACTACAAACAAAAATACAAATCTTTCCTCTTTTTATTATCAAATTACTAATTTGATAAAACAGATATTAAATTTTAAATGAAACTTAACATAACAGATTAGTAAAAACCATAATTCATTACATAAAATAGTTTCTGAGATTAGTACACACAAACAAACAGATTTAAAAAATAATAATAGAGCTCTTTTAATTTACTAACCGGATACAAATTGCCAATCCGTTTTCACAGGTATTGTAGCCTGTTGAGCTACAGAATCAAGCAATACTTTGAGATCTTTGGTCTTTTCGTAATGATACTCCATACCAGCTACCCTTGGCTGGTTGCCGAGGAGCTGGTGAAGGTAGACCTTCGCTGATTCCTCACTGAATATTTCAACATCCTGAAAATATACAATTATATAACAAATATACAGAAATATCAAGTAAACATTAATTGGTTTTGCAAAATCTCTATCTACTAATATTATAAAAAAGAAAACTCTATATTTTTGTATTGAAATAACTCAAAAACTATTGGACCCAATCCAAAAATTTTTGCACCATTAAAGTGTTTTATTATCCGTTTTACGTGCATTTTTTAGTTTAACGCGGAATTAATAAAAAACTATCCGTTAGTTTTTGAGTTTTTCTTAAGTGTACCAAAAATTGGAAAATTCCGTCTTGAAGTCGATTTAACGTTTATCTATACTATTACAATAAAGCGTAAACACACACTTCTTTGTTGCCTAAGATGTCAGCAATTACAGCATGTTTTTGAATAATCACTTTTTTAATAAAAAGCCCTACACATACGTCACGCTTTAGCCTATATATTTTCACGTCATTAAACTTAGGGGGTAAATATTTTGGATAAAAACCCTAATGTGGGAAAGAGACCATAAGTTGCTGCCAACATCAAGGAAGCAAAATTGTCATCATGTCATTTTGATATTTGTAATTGATAATTTGACAGATGTAAACAATAAAATAAAATTTTCATAATTTTATGCAGATGAAGTCGCACGGGAACAGCTAGTTTATTATACATAGAGATATTTTTATAGGTATTATAAAGTTAGTTTAAAATGATTGTTAAATTTAATATCTTTGGACAGTTTAAATTATTATCTTTTACCTATATTATGTTCTAGGATAAAATACTTACTTTACCCTGTACATCCTTTTCAGATATAACCTTAGGCATATCATCTTCAATGAGCTGTGTTAGGTAGCCTAAAGTCAGGTAAAAGCCTACAACAAGAATTATTGCAACGCTCGGTACCTGAAAAATTATACGAAATAAAAAATAAAACAGCTTTGATAAGTGACAATTGTCGATGTTTAGCATAATTCCCTTATATGAGAAGTTAGATTTTAGGCTTTTTATATAGTGTTATTGTTATGTATGTGCTTGTATGTGACGTCAATAAACCAGTCTGTATTAAGCAAGCGCTGTTTCTGTTACTCCTTCACATAACTATCAGTTATTTATTTAAAAAACGAGCTGTTGCCGCGACTTCGTTAGCGTGGTATTAGAAATATACAAACTATGTAAATTACAAAAAGCTACGTATCCCTCGGGAACCGGACATTTGTCGGGGATGAAGCTTATCCCATATGTACTCCAGACTTTGTTTTATATCTGTGCCAAATTTAAATAAGATATGTTGAACCGTTGCAGAATGATCGAGTAAACATTAAAAAACTAAATTAAAAAATCCCACGGGAACCGTAACTATTCCCGGGATAAAAAGTAGCCTATGTGTTCTTCTAGACTATGGTCTAAACCTGAGCCAAATTTCATGGAGATCCGTTCAGCCGTTTAGGCTACAAACTCTAACAAACATCCATCCATCTAAACTTTCGCATTTATAATATTAATAAGAAGTAAGATTGGACATAAATAATATACAAGGTATACAAGATTAATTTATCCCTTAGTTATCTACTTTTGTAATAATTTCAACACTAAACTATTTTATTACATAAACTATTTGCTAAAGGCTAGTTTACTTGGATATTTTGTATTATTAATGACATTATACTTTATGTTATTTATAGTTAAATTATTGTAAATTACATTTCCCAATGTTCACTATGAAAAACAACATTTTTTTTATAACATAAGGTGGCAAATGAGCAACTGGCCACCTGAATCCAAAGAAGCAACGCCCATAGACATCCGCAATTGCAGTTGCGTTGCCTACCCTTATCCCACAGAGGAAGAGACACACATAACGAGGATATTTCCCCTTCCTATGCATCTCCTCCTCCGTCAAATCTACTTCCCTTTTCCATCCCCTCCTTTTAAGAAAAGGGTGGTAAAGAGAAAGGGACTTAAATTAGGCCTCTGGCCATTTCACTGTTCCATTTCACCCCTGTATTCTGTGTGGTTGTGGTATTACACTGAGCGTGCCAGCCCTGCAGTGCTAAGATGTTAAAGCGGGTTCTACCACTGTTAACTTAAATTACTACTTTATGTTATTATTTATAATTAAATTATTGTAAATTACATTTCCCGTTCACTATGAAAAACAACATAAAGAAAAGATGACAAATTAAATACCAAAGATAAAAGCATATATGTTATTTAGTAAATAGTTTGGAGGTTAGAAATTAATACAGATATCCCTATTTGTAAATGAACTCACAGATTTCATTGTTTGTGAACTGTTCTTGATGATTTGATTTAAAATCTAGAAATATACAAAATTTAATGTATAAATAATTTTATATTTCACTATCTTGAGGATTCGCAGTCAAAATAAATGTACAGTTGACTGCAAATGTATACAAAGCTACAAATTGTATATATCTTCAGTTAGAAAAATGCATGTAACCATCTGCATACTTCCTACTTTGAATACTTGTTTTCACAAACAAATGAATGTGTAATTTTAAAACTTTACGCCTGTTTCTAAAAAAAAATTAACGAATACATATTTGTGAAGCTGACTGTACATATATCTTTTTCTAAATAAATGATATATGTCATGCTATACGCAGTCAATTACTCTTTAAATACATCAATATCTTGTAAATACCACAATCTTTATTACCTTTTGCCAAGGTTTCTCATTTCTTTCTTCATCAATGTCTAATGGAGACAACTCGGGAAGGTCTCTGTGAGTCTGGAAAATAATAATTATAATTTTAAGATTATAAACACCATTCCTTAGGTGTTCAAATTTCTGTTAGAATGTATCTACAGACTGGCTTAATGAATCTTGATGAAATTTGGCACAGATGTAGAACATAGTCAGGGGGAAAACAGAGGCTACTTACTGATGTTACTTTTTTAATTCTGTGTGGACAGAGCCTGTCAACATCTAATACATAAAACAATTATTTCACTTGCCAATTTTTTATCATAAGGTGGCAAATAGGATTGCGATCTGAATTCACAAAAATAGTGAAGCAAAAGCTAATTGAGGACTTCGCAATAACACTTGCTTATTACTTTTTTAATGTCGCTTTTAGATGTTTAAAATTTTTACATACCATAGACTCGGTAATTCTTCTTCTATTGTAGGTATCAATATCAAATTGATCACTGTACATTTTTACTTAATTATTATAATACACGTCTTTTTATCTTATAAAATATATTTGACACTCACTTCTAAGCTAGTACTAATAATATATTTATACGATTCACATTACTTGAATTAAAACAAACATTTACAAAGTCTACCGTTTTTCTACCGGAGTATTGTTTGCTAATTCCTTGGAATTATATGTTATCTTTTGTACCTGTTATTATTGATAAATGATTATCTTCACTTCAAATTTTATTTACATTACATATTTAAAGTTAGTACAAAATCAATATAATTCAAAAAGTTTTAATAAAAATGACGTTCAATGTCTGTTTGTTACGTTTACTAGATAAATTAAACTTTGAAAAATAAACTGGTTAAATAAAAAGGTAACAGAAAATACGAAAATATTTGTATGATAATGTCACTTTGACATTGGCGTTGGAAGTAAACAAAATGAGTGTTGCCAAATACAAAAATTTACCCCTGAGAAAATAAACACCATACAACCTTGGGTTTGCACAAAATCTAAAATTCCACTGGAAAAAACAATAAATAATTTATAACTTAATTAACACAACACTTACTTTCGAGGAAAAGAAAATGTGATAGAATTATAGTGTATAACAAATCATTTTTTCAAATTAGTCAAAAATGACAACACAAAGCAATTGTGAGCTCCAAAACGAGGCCAAATAGATTTGTATGGCGTTTACAAGATGTTAAAATGGCTTTTTGTTAAGATTAAGAATCCGTGTATAGAAGTTTACGCGATTTCGTAATTTAACTAGGCGGTAGGTGATTTCATCTAAAATTACAATTTGTAACTAGTTTAGGGCGGTATTGTTTAAGTTTTGCAAAGTAAAATATTTTAAACTTCTAGTTTTTATTAAATAATAAACAAAAAAATTGCTTCCTTCGAGCCGGATTTGAACCAGCGACCTATGGATTTCAATTTTTATTACAACTACAGTCCACCGCTCTACCAACTGAGCTATCGAAGGGATATGTGACGCATTGAAAATGAGAAATTAAAAAAAAAACTATTTTTAAAGAAATAAAAATGCTCCACAGATAACTAAATATTTAAATTGTCCTATGAAAAGTTTGTTGAATGCAATTTAAATATGAATTGCTCGATAAAAATCAAAGGTAACTAACTGAATTTATTGCATTTAGTTGGTCGAATGGATTGACGGGAAATTGATAGGTTTAGGGAATATTATTGTAAAAAAAACTTTAATTACTCAATTTTTTATTAATATAATGCTCACATCTAAATACAGTGTATAGATTTAGCTACCAAATAAATTAGACATCTTGTTTCTATTAAATATTACTTGACATCCATTTTTAGTTGATAATTTGAAAATAGATGAAAAGGTTATGTAGACATCTTGGAATTGTGTTCTTTAACAACACGACATTCGCAGTTTAACAATCACAAAAGTGAATTTCGCGGAAAACCACGTGAAAATCCAATAATATATAGTGTTAAGAACACTTATGTCATTTGTGAAAAATAGCATTTTTTTATTAATAGCTAGAGACAAGTTGTGCTGTTAAGCCGTTGGGTAGCTAAAAATATTCAAAAGTAAAAATTAAATTTATTTCATTGAAACAATACAATTACACCTAATAAAAATGACTGGCTGCTTGTTACAGATTATACACATAATTTACTAATTAAAATTGTAATATTAAGCCTACATAATTAACTTGTATATATTTATACAATATTATTTACATATAATGTACATTGAAAACCAGATCTTAGTTATTTTAGGATAAAACAAATTAAGTACATTCTAATAAATATACAACTAATGGTAAACATCACATAAAATAGTAAATTATTTGTTAAAAGTTCTTATTAACAATTTGTGCAATTTACAATTTCAACAATAATCCAAGGTTTTATTTACTTCACCTTTTCACATTCAATAAAGAAAATAAAACCTTAAAAATATCATACGTGTTTGTAACAATAAAAATATTACATGACAAGAGGAAGTCGGGAATTTTAATAATCTATAACTGTCGATACGACCATTGTCGTGAATACTTACCCATACAAAATTGGCAAGATATTACTTAATTCTATTCAAATCTTTGCACTATCCCACTTCTCAATTGAATGTTCAAACTATAATCAACACAAATAAAAACACTGACCATTTGAAATAAAAAGTATTAAAAAACAAAATCTTTTATTTATTTTTAACTTTAGAACACAATTTATTCGATTTAAAATTGATGCCAACATTTAAAATATTTTAATCACATCACTCAGTGTCTCAATGTTGGTACGGCGCCACATTACAACTTGACGTTGACAGTTCGTTGCGCTTTCGTTCGGAAACATCGTCCGTCCCTCTCGCGTGGAGGTGATTATGTGAGACGGCACTAGGGCGAGGGAGGGAGACTGTCGTCGCTCTCCAGGTATGTGACGTAGTTGTCCTCGCCTCCTTGAGGACGTGGTGGAGGCAGGGAAGGGACATCGTAGCCATGCATCTGAAAGAAACGAAGGGAACTCTAATAAATCTAATTAAACTTTTATACACATTATTAGTGTGATTCACTATCAAGTATATGTCTTTTGTTATAACTGTTATTTTTAAAACACAATGCTATGGCTTACTTTGCTATAACGTTAAGTAGCTACTATCCTCCAAAGACCGATACTATCCAGATACCCGAAAGTGAATAACTTCACCCAGAAAAAAAAGCTTCTATAATGGTTTAAGTCGATAAAAATCGTCTATGTATTGAAATAACTCAGAAACTATATGACCTATTTCAATAATTCTTTGATTAAAAAGCTTATCAGTGAGTAGAACAGGCTGCTTTTTTTTTCAATTTCATGGAGAAGTCGCGAGCAAGTTATAAAGTCCATAGTCGTGTGTTGACAGCTGTTGGTGTTGTCTAACTGTGTATTGGTTGTGTGTTGGTTGTGTGTTGGGTGTGTGTTGGGTGTGTACCTGACTGACGAGGTGCTGGAAGGCGGCGCTGTGGTGCGGCGCGCGGTCGAGGTCCGCGTGCAGCGCGAAGTCCGAGAGCGCCTTCCAGGGCGGCTGGTAGGCGGTCACTTCCAGCGGCAGCGGGCCCGCCTCGTGCCGCACCGGAGACCCCGCCACTAGTGGTACTCCCAGTGACATGTATCCCAGCCTACGGCCTTCCTGTTCCAACAACCATCGTCATTAACAGGAAGAGAAAACTGCTATCTATGTCGCTAGCGTGTACCATCTTTTTTTTAAGTCATAAGGTGGCAAACGAGCAAGCGGCCACCTGAATCCGGCAAACTGGCGAAGCGATTGCCTATAGGCTCTCGCAATAGCGGATGCGTTGCCCACCCTTAAGTGACGGAGGAGAAGACACACATAAAAGGGTGTTTCCTCTTCCTATACGTCTCATCTGTGGTGAGAAGGAAAAGAGACTAAAGTTGGGCCCTAACTATCTTTCGACTGCATCACTGTCTTCAATGATCGTGGGCAAGCTCTAGCTTAACAAACATTAACACTTGCCCTTGCCCCGAGAAGGGTCGGCAGAGTATGTACTCTGCCATACATATTAGCCATAACTGAATGAACTCTCTTAAGCATATCCTCTTTCCTCTACCTTTGTAGCCTACATTCAATCTTAATTCTGGTTTACATCCCTCCCCTTTCATAAAAAAGTGGTATGGAAGGGAAAAGTACCATTACTCTTCACTATTTATAAATAGTTTATGTAAAGATTGTACAACAAAACAGACACCGTTTTAAATGCGTGGCTAAAAATAAAATTGGATGTCTTATAAGGTAAGTTTTATTAATCGACATATTTTGGGTCAAGGAAACTAGTACTCATATAACGAGTTATTTCAAAACATCCTGTATAAGTGACGGTGTATTTAAATTAATACATAAATTGAATGTAATTTAAACTTGCACCGCAAAATATTGAATGTCTTATCTCGTTTCTTTTTCACAAATAAAAACAAATAACCGTTATATTTATTGGGAAGTTTTTTTCTATTAGTTTGGCAACACTGATATTCATAGACAACGTACCCGTTACGCATCGTTCTAAAATTCAAATATTCGTTTAGAAACCTAACCTTTTTTATTCTGTTTTTAATCTATACTCTAAACTAATATTACGAAGAAAAAAGATGTGTATTTTTGTACATATTAAAATAACTCAAAAACTACTAGACCAATTTAAAAAATATTTAACCATTAAAAATCTACCTTATCTCCGAGTTGCATAGGCCATGTTTTTTATTATATTTTAATTTCACGCAGACGAAGTTGCGAGCAACAGCTAGTAAATATTAAAGAAGATATACCAAAGGATAAATTACCACCTTCTCCTGTTGCATTTGCATTTTAAGTTGCAAAGTTTTCTTCTTGTCCTTGCAGCGTTTGTTTTGGAACCAAACCCTGATGACGCGAGGACTGAGGCCTGTCATCTCCACGAGCTGCTCCTTCATCAGCGCGTCAGGGCGAGGGTTTGCAGCGTAGCAAGTCCTGAGAAATGTATGCTTATTTTCATAAATTGTATAATTATGGAGTTAAGTTGGTTGTTAGATGGATGTATGGAGAAGATACGAAATTAATATATTAGAGGAAGTTTGAATTATTAATAAATTTGAATTATTAGAAGAAATTAAGAAGTAAAAGGTTAGCATGGGGGCATGTTATGACGGATGAATCATATGTAACAAGGAGGTTAGTTAAGAGAGTGGTATATCGGTAGAAGACCTAGAAAGAGATGGATTGTATGAAAGGTGGCATGATCAAGGGAGTGACTGAGAAGACGGATGATAGAGTTATTTGGAGGACGAAGACACGGTGCCTACGGGAGAAGGATAAGGTAGGAGATATGATATTGTTTAGAAGGCTACGAGGTGGCACTAAACTTGAAAATTAATAACCTTTTAAAGAAAGTAACAGTAAATATATTTATTGGCTTTGGCTACAAATGTAGAGGAAGACCGGAGAAAGTATGGATGGATTGTGTGAAAGAGGATATGCTTAAGAAAGGAGTGGATTCAGATATGACGGCTGATAGAGATGTATGGAAGAGCACATACTGAGCCAACCTTCGTGAGGGATAAGGGCAAGTGACGAACAGTGAAAATATCCTTTACTACCTCGTTTATATATTTCTTTAATGTCTTTGGTATTTACACGTGTGTGTGTTTGTGTATGTTTTTTTTTTATAATACGTGTGTTTATAATTTTTATAATAAGATTGTGTGTGTGTGTGCGTATATCTGGCCAGATATTCAGATATATAATACTGACCTGAGCGTGTGTAACTGCTTCTCATTGAGCACGGTGCGTACTCTAGTGGGTTTGCCGTCGGCCGCATTAGCCGTGCGCGCGCGCCCACTTTTATGGGAGCCAGATTCGCTGCCAGAGTCTATAGAAAAATACATAACAATACCAATATAATAAAGCTTAAACATTACTTAGTTACTTAGTTACTTAGGATGTCAGCAATTAAAGCATGTTTTTTGAATAATTATAATGTTTTTTAAATAAAAATACCACTAACGACACGCTTTACGCTATACATTTTCACGATATTAAACTATAAATAAATTTATTGGAAAAAAAAACTTCATGTGGGAAAGGGACCTTAAACTACAAGCTGCCAACATCAAGGAAACAAGGTTGCCATGGTTTATAATCATGTCATCTCATTTTGGCAAAAGTAGACAATAAAATAAAATTTTCCTAATTTCATGCGAATAAAGCCGCAAGAAAACAATCGTAAAATAACCAAGTACTGCGACGTTTATGATCTTTGTTATTCAAATACACATATAGGAAAAATTTCAATTAAATTTGTAGAGAATGTACTTATTTGCATATTTAATCAAAGCTATATTTAATAGACTCTGACTGACCCTAACGGAAGGGTCAGTGCATGATTAGGGATCAAGGGCCCGCGTGTTCCATTGATCCACACTTCACACCTTTGTTAATCTTTGGACGTTGGCTTATGGCAACCCTTTTGTTAATTTTCTAATGGCAAAAGCAACGTTATTATTAAAGGCGATAATTAGACTGATTGATGGATTAAAATGCATAAATACGAGTATATCTCACCGAAAATAAAATGTAAATTTTGTTCCACGAATCAAAATTCTTTTCAATACTCTGTACGAAACGGAATACAATTTTTTTTCGGTTAATTTAAATTCCAGCTAATTAAAAATGGTATTAGAAAATAGCACAGATAAACAATTAAGATCGGATATCGATTTCGATTGTAAATAAGTTTTACCATAAACTTATTTGACTCTAATTTAGACCACATTTTCCCATCAAGTATTTTTAAATAAATACTGTTTTCTGATACTAATGACTAATAAAAAAATAATCTTGTATCATAGACAATCTAACTTTAATCGTTCTATCGATTTGTATTATCTATTGTCAACAGTTTTGATTTGATAGATAAATTATATCTTTATTTATAACAAGCAAAATCTATATCTATACTCTATACTAATATAAAGAGGAAAGATTTCTGTTTTTTGCATTTTTTATGTGTTGAAATAACTCAAAAATTACTGGGTCGATTTCAAAAATTCTTTCCTTTTTATAAAGCTACGTTATCAGTGAGTAACATAGACTGTGTTTCTTTGCCATTTGTTTTTAATTTCAAGTAGACGAAGTCGACAGCAACAGCTAGTATTTTATAATTACGGCGAGCGGAGATCCCTATACTATTTATAGTTTATTTACTATAAGAAATTATTCTTTTATATTTCGGCTTTGGTACAGTAATAAATGTATTTCTAGACTAGCTATTGCCTGTGATTCCGCGCGGGATTATAAACTTAATTAGGAAATCAAGATGATTATGCTTCTGTACATACGTCTGGGAAAATAAATTGAATTCTTCTATTTTCTTTTCTTGCAAGTTAATAAAAAAAGGGTCAAAAGATCGGTCTATTCTTCTCTTATAAGTAACTTTTATCGTAGTGTCAGTCCAGTCATTACATTATATATATTTTTTCATCATCAATGAGATTAATTAGATAAAAAAGGCCGTCCACTTGAGTTTTCGCGGCCAATTTAAAGCGGCGTCCGCTTTGTCGGCGCACTTCAAAGGCCCATAGATAACGTACGGTGGGCAACGCGAGTTATATCGTTTATAATGCATTGATTTTTTATTATTGAGTAAAATAAATAGCTACTATTGTGTACCTCCAGTAAGTTAGGCGTTAGAAACCTAAATATTAATTCTACTTGTAAAAAAAATATTTAAATTAAAGTCGTCTAAATGAATCCTTAAGTTATTGATAAGTATAGTTAACTGTGATTTAGGAAAGTATGAAATATTACTAAATGCGTATTTCTTAATATTAAAGTATTATAAATCTTCTAGAATGAAAATTAATTACAACATTAGAACAATTTTGAACGAAAGTGTATAAAAGTAATCCCAAAGATGTCAAAAGAATAAATAGAAATATTTCAGTCATATTCAAACACACAGACCTCTATAAATAAATAGGCTATAAGACGTAGTATTTAGTGCATAATTGATTTTCGCCATTTTCCGATGACGGTCGCTGTTAGAAACAGTATTCATAATCTTACTAATATTATAAATGCGAAATTAGATGGATGTTTGTTAGAGTTTGTAGCATAAACGGCTGAACGGATTTTGATGCAATTTGGTTTAGATGTAGAGGATAGTCTAACAAACACATAGGCTAGTCACTTTTTTCAAAGCGGACGGAGTCGCGGCGATAGCTAGTCATTTATACTTATAATAATATTATAAATGCGAAAGTTTAGATGGATGTTTGTTTGAGTTTGTAGCCTAAACTGCTGAACGGATTTCGATGAAATTTGGTTTAGATGTAGAGGATAGTCTAAACACATAGGCTAGTCACTTTTTTTATTTCAACGCGGACGGAGTCGCGGGTGAAAGCTAGTAATAAAAATGCTTTAACTGTCAAAGTTTTAACCGTTTGGTTAGCTGTACCTGTAATCAGTGTTAAATTAGGAATCAATGTGTACAAATACTTGAAGTTCACCTCTGATAAGATATAATCGCTAATTATGTCTGTAACACGATAAAAGATTGATATTTTTTGGAAATACGAGACGATGAGAACCGTAAAACAGAACTAAACACTCTTTGGATGGATGTTTCTATCCAAAACGTAATTTCCTCCAGAACGAAATTATCTGGACAACATTTTTAAACAGTAATAAACAAACGCTTACTTTCTACGACATCATGAGTCGTAAAATGTAATAAAAAAAAGAAAACCTTAACCCTTTAATGCATGATGTTCCATTTATACACCAGTCTTTTCTTCTATACGTAATAGACTATTTTGAAAAAAAAAAATCTTTGTTTTTCCTTAATCTATGTTCAATTCACTACCCGTTTCAATTTATGGTATTTAAAAGGAAAAAATTGAGCATTTAAGGGTTAAATGTATACATTACTAGTTGTTCCTCGCGATTTCGTACACGTCGTATAAAAAAAATAGTAAAAAAACAGACTGTGTTACTCAGTGATAGCGTTGATTTTTAATAGTGAAAGAATTTTTGAAATCGACCCAGTAGTTTTTTAATTTCAATTCATACATAAAAAACAAATCTTACTTTTTTAATATTAAAATAGGTATAGTTATAGATTATATATAAGGGTCTGATATATGTTTTTTGTACCTTTTTGTCAGTTTCAAAAGGGCTAATTAATCGTAATGTGTTTGTATTCTCTGTGTAGACATAATCATTGTAATGAAGTATTGGGGAAGGAATTGGCTACTGTGACATAGACTACTACAGAAAAAAACAAAAAAAGGTAATTTTGTATATACTTACCAGACATGGAGCCCAGCTCGTGTGGGAGATGTGAATTGTTGTTGCTTAGTGTTGTGTTGTTGTTACTCTCCGCGTTGGCGCCACTGCTGCCGCTTGTGTTCGCACTCTAACGTAATATCATTTATAAGAATTTATTTATTTAATACCTCTGCACAAATAATACAACAAAGCTTAAATCTATACTATTATAATAAAGCGTAAACACACACTTCTTTGTTGCCTAACATGTCAGCAATCACAACATATTTTTGAATAACTCTTTTTTGAATAAAAAGCCCTACACCTACGTCACGCTTTAAGCTATATATTTTCACGCCATTAAACTTAGGGGGTAAATATTTTGGATAAAAACCCTAATGTGGGGAAGAGACCATAAGTTGCTGCCAACATCAAAGAAGCAAGATTACCAAGGATTGTCATCATGTCATTTTGACATTTGCTATTAATAATTTGTCAAATGTAAACAATAAAATAAAGTTTTTATAATTTCATGTGGGTGAAGCCGCACGGAAACAGCTAGTTAAGTAATATTGGATTAGACAATATTAAAATAATCAAACGAAAAGGATTATCAAAACTGAAAAAAATATACATCATCATCACCAGTTACATCTCCAATGAGCTCGGAGCCTACCCTAAGTTACTGACTAGGCCATCATAGTCTTGTCACAAACATGTCTTTGAATTTCTTCCCCGATATATGCATCATGATGTTTTCCTTCACCGTAATAACGTCGGCTAAATTATGTACATATGAGAATTCGAAAAATCGAAAATCACACTATTACGTGTCGGTATTCGAACTCAAGACCACAAGATTACAAGGCAAGTTAAACCACTGAGCCACCGACGCTCTATAAAAATATGAATACTAATTAATTTACTAAAATTTACTCTTCTAGTCAAAATTGTAACGATCATATAAAACATATTTGTTATTTTAAAGTAAAAGAAATAGACGTTAAGGTATTTAAAACATGCAGAAAAAACATAAAAGAAACCTTTTCTAACACGTCGTGATCTTCCCTGCAGTACAACGCACCACCTTCCCGTAACGCGAATTCGTCTCCTGAAACAAAAACCTTTGTTATTTACAATAAATTAAAAGTGGTAGTGCCGCTTTAGCACTGCAGGGCCGGCACCCCCCCCAGTCATACCACGACCACACAGAAGACAGGCGTCAAATGGAAGCAATTCCGTGTACAGTCTGATGAGTGTGGTGCTGGAGGCCTAATTTAAGTCCCTTTCTCTTGCCACCCTTTTCTTATAAGGAGAGGTTGGGAAGAGGAAGTGGATTTGACGGTGGAGGAGATGCATAGGAAGGGGAAATATCCCCTTTATGTACGTCTCCTCCTCCGTCGTATAAGGGTAGGCAACGCATCTACATTTGCGGATGTCTATGGGCAGCGGTCGCTTCGCCATTTTGGCGGTTTCAGATGGCCGCTTGCTCGTTTGCCACCTTATGTTATAAAAAAAATAAAATTAGTCACAACACTGAAATTCAAATTGTTATTAAGCAATCTTCAATATTAATTTCCAACATCCAGCACTAAATTCCACTTAACAATTTCAATTTCACAGAACAGTCGAACAAAACGGTTAAAATTGTGTGTAGACACATTTTTAATTGTATATTGCATGTCCAATTACAACTGAAGGTATGTAACGGCTTTAACATTCGAAAACAATTATCATCCATTATTAAAAAGTAAATAACAAAATAAGCATCATATATATAAACGTTGGAATAAATAATTTACCGTTTGATTCCTACAATCGTGTGTTATTTTAACTGCAAATTGTTTAAACAAACGTAGAAAGCACTAATTTCAGTGAAATAGGATTCAATATTTGATATATCAAGATGTCTGAATACAGCTCTGGGTACCAAATGATTCCGAAGCGCCAAGACATTTGATTACTTCTACTTTTACAATTACTTAGGATCCTGGTATACTATTTTTTTTTTATAACAAAAGGTGGAAAACAAGCAAGCGGCCACTTGAATCCGCCAAAATGGCTAAGCGACTGCTGCCCATAGACATTTGCGATCGCAGATGCGTTGTCTACCCTTATCCGACGGAAGAGGAGACGCACATAAAGAGGATATTGCCCCTTCCTATGCCTACACCAAATCACTATACTATACTATAGCATATTAAAATTTAAGAATAAGCCCCAGTGGTAGAAATTAAGTAAAAGGTTAGCGTGGTATGGACATGTTATGAGGGGTGAATTGTATGTAACAAGGACGTTAGTTATGAGTGTGGTACACCGGTAGAAGACGTAGAAATGGATGGATTGCGTGAAAGGTGACATGAAGTGACTTAGATGACGTATGATAGAGTTATTTTGAGGACAAAATTGGTGCGTCTGACGGGAGTAGGATAAGGTAAGGGTGATGATGATGATTTACCTGGTATAAGTTGCCGTGCGCACGCGCAGCATCGGAAGCAATCGATGTGGTATATCTTCGTTTTGGCGCGCATCACGAAGTCGTTCTTGCTGAAGGAAGCTCCGCATTTATCACATTTCGTACCGAATAACCTGTCAATATAACACTGTTAAAAGAAATGTAAAAAGAATAAAGAAATCTATTATTATTTATAAAATCTTCCTTTTTTGGTGATTAATGCTCGCTACTTCGTCTCGTGAAATAAAAACAAAAAAATAACCTATGTTAGTAACTGATAACGTAGTTTTTTAATGATGATTTTTTTTTAAATCGGCCCAGTTTTTGAGTTATTTAAATACATACAAAAATATAAATCTTTCCTCTTTATAATATTATAAATATTTGATAAAATAAAAGCGTTGTTACAATGTTCGTTTGATATCTTGCACTCTTATTTCGCGCCTAAAATCTGTGTTTTTTTTTTAATTCAAATTGTGTCTATTGCTTTCTTAACAGCCAGTACGATATTAAATATTCTGTATTTAGTTTTGCAACTTATTTTACAAATAACTTCCTTATTCATTATAACTATTTGATTTAAAATATGTTTTTATTTTTAATTAATGAATATTTACAACTGTTGCCAGCGCCATCTATTATCATTTGCTTAACCACCATTTTTACAATTTTGCGTGTGCAGGCGAAATTTCAATTGTCAGTTAGAACTGTTAAAATAAATTAAATAGTTAACATTATGCAAGCATTTTAATTTGAACAGTTTAGAGAGTATTCAATTGCCTTAAATACTACGGAGATTTGAAAAACTTTTCATAGAAATTGCAAAAATAGTAAAAAAAGGTTTCATATGTTCGTTCAGATACTTTTATTCATATTTAAAAATAATAACAATTCATATATCTTTTTAAAACATACCAAAAAAGGTTCTTTCTTTTCAAAAAAGTTTTTTCAACGGCTTATATAGGTATTCATGGTGTTAAAAATATACAAAAATTATTTCCTCTTCAAAATTTCCCTGTATGTTTTACTAACCCTACCTACCCTATGTATAGGCGATGCTTTTAGCGGTATTGGTCGGGGGTTGCGCAGTAGGGGATGGGGGAGGACGGGGGAGGCTTTCATCCCGTAAAGTGCCGGTCAACAACCTCCCCGGGGGTTGTTTCAAAATGTACTTAGGGTTTTGCTCGCTTTTCAATGCTTTTCCCTTTTATATAAAATCGATTTTATGTAAAATATTAACGCCTATGCAGTTAATTTTCATAAATAACCTTTTTGATTATAATTCTTGTAATATTATATTTTACAATTCACTATCGGAACCGAAAAACATTGGAAAAAATGTTGTTTAGTAAGTTTTAAATTCTGAATGAAGTCGCAGGCGAAAGCTAGTTTTTAACGGAATGTAAACTCTAAAATAGTTTTTATAATGTCATAGGATAGAAGACGCTGGCGCTCTCTCGTGTCGGAGGCCAAGACCCACTTTAGGTCGCTGCGCCAACGCAGTAAGTAAAGTGTCACACGAATACTACGGGAGCTACGTATATATCTCACTAATATTATAAATGCGAAAGTTTAGATGGATGTTTAAGCCTAAACGGATCTCGATGAAGTTTGGCAAAGACAGAGGATAGACTAAAAGAACACATAGGCTACTCACTTTTGTTTTATTTATTACGTGCGGACGGAATCGCGAGCGAAATCTAGTAAACCATATAAAGATTGTCTACCCCGTATTTGTTTACTGCTTTGAACATCCTAACATTTCGCGACGTCCCGATTCCATCCTGTCATTGCAGTCGGGGCTGTCAGCTGTCAGCTGTCAACTGTCGGCTGTACAAACATTGGCCACACAAGCTGAGACAAGAATGGTCAGTGGGGAAACATTGTATGTACAGAATTTAATAAATAGATCTCTTGTCTATATTGAGTATGTATTTTCGATGGGATAACTTTGTATTAATTAGCTTTAAGAGGCTAAAAAATTTATGTCGAAATTCCGGTTTGTTAGTTATGAATGTGGAGGTACATCGGTAGACGTAGACCTAGAAAGAGTTGGATGGATTGCGTGATGACATCAAGAAGGGAGTTATGACTGAGATGACGGATGATAGAGTGCTTTGGAGGACGAAAACCCGGTGTGCTGACCCTACAGGAGTAAGATAAGGCAGGGGAGATGATGATGAAATTCCGATTTGTTGCTAGTCTCCGGAACGGCTTAACGAATCTCGCTGTATTGCATTTAAGTTTTACAATTCTGCACAAACCGAGTTTCGGGCGGCTAGTACAAAATTATCTAACTTAGTACATCAAATATAACTTAGGCGTAGCTGTCAGAGGGTGAGATTTGCGCCCCGACGACCCCTCAATTAGCGTAACCTGATACCGCATCGCTTCTCCTTTTACTGCAATGTTTGTTAAACACACAGATGCGTTAAACATCTGCGTATATACAAGTACGTTATGATAATATACACGATAATTTTATAACTTATAGTATTACTATTTTGCTCGCGACATCACTGCGTAAACATACCTTTTTTAAAGGTACAAGAATGTTTGAAATCGATCCAGTAGTTTTTAAGTTATTTCAATACATACAAAAATCTTGATGAAAAGCACAGATGTAGAACAAAGTCTGGAAGAACACCAAGGCTATTTGTTTTGTTAATTTTAATTCCACGCGGACGGACTCGCGGGCGAAAGCTAGTATATTATAAAAATACTAGGTTGCGCCCGCAACTCCGTCCGCGTGGAGTTCAAAAAAACAAAAGTTAATAGCCTATGTGTTCTTCCAGACTATACTCTACATCTATACCAAATTTCATTGAGATCCGTTCAGCCGTTTAGGCTACAAACTCGAACATCCATCCATCTAAACTTTTGCTTTTAAAATGCGTTTACATTGTTATGTATATCATAAACAGCTTAGCGATGTTTGTTATAAAAACATAGCCTATTTATTAAGTTTATTTAAATCCGCGAGAAAGTCGCGGGTAAAAACTAGTTTGATCTATAAATATATCGTGTTATTTCAACATTAGTAGAAGTTGAGGTTAAATATTCTTATATATCCGCTGTTTACGTCGGTAACTATATCCGATGCACAAACAACGGTTTCCGTCCTGTCTGTTGAAGGGTTGAGTTAAGAAAATCCTTTACTATCGGATTTTCAGTGTAATTTAATATTTATTTACTGATGTTTTATATTGAACTAAACTTTAGGTATAAAAATAAGGCTTTTTAGTGTATAAATACGTGTTATATTCAGCTGTTGCCCGCGATTTCCTCCACGCAATATTAAGCTATTCTTCAGAGAAAGTACGGTCGACATCGGTTCAGCGGTTTCGGAGATTGCCCAGAACAAACGCGGCTTGTGGACAGACAGACAAAATTTTAAATGTGATTTTCGTTAAAAGCAACGCATACGTCATCTTTCTAAAATCTAGGGTTTTGCTTTTGATATTACAGACACTCCAATTTTATTATTATGTATAGATTTGTGTGATTCGTAACATAACCTCAAAATTTAAATCCGTTATTTCCACTTTTAGTAAAGTGTTAATGAACATTAATTATTGTTTATGAATCTCATCAACTTCCTTCTATCGATGCGTTTGTCTGTCAGCGCGTCCGGAGGATGTTAATACTTCGATTTTGTTTCCGATTTATAACGTTTAAAAACAAAAATTGATTGATGTAATTTATACCGGTTTGTTTTTATTATCTGTATATTGCCCAGGCCTATTTAATTAACCATTTTTTTAAACGAAACCTAACCTAAAATACAAAGATTTCAGTTTTGATTATTTTCTTAATTTTTTTAAAATCTAACATAAAAATACTCACAGTTATTAAATTGGTCAATACGGAGATTAAAAGTGTTGATTTACACAGTTTGAATAAAAAAGTGTAATAGAAAACCCGCTTATCCGGGCCGGTGTAAACGAGGACAAACATTACCATAGACATATCATGTTCCCGCCGCCCGCCGCGCTGTCAAACTGACGTTTGTTTTGGCGCCCAAATACATAATGCTCAGTCAAACTCAGTTTGTTTTCTCTGAACATCACTGTATACGGCGGCAAAATTATATTTACCTTTGCTAAAATGCTAGCTAAAGGATTATAGAGTTTATTCCGTTTGTAATAAGGTTTGAGGTTATGAGAAACTGTTTATCGTGTTATACTGCAGTTTGTTGATGGTAATTCTATATTTTAGCATTGGAATCGAGATGGAAGGGTGAAATGGTAAACATATGCGAGTTATTTTAGTGAAATCATCTTTGGTGTTGTTTTGAAAAAGTGGCGCCGAGTTAAAAATGACTGACGTATTATGGAATAGATTTTTTAATGCAGTTCTGTGTAAACGAACTATAATTAACCGTTTGTAAGCTGCGTTTGACGGCGTGTTTGCGTGTTCGTTTGACGTTCGATGTTTGCTATTTCATGTTGAATTTAATTTGTTTGAATTGCTTTAATTAGAGTTTATATAACTTGATCTCGTTTTGTGGAATTCGGAATAATATTTATGGTAGATTTCTATACCTATGCTGTAATGTTTTTACTTGAACGAAAACTTAGGGCTTAGTAATTCATTAAAACCTAGTTACCTGCCCCGGATTTGCCTGGGTTGGTCAGTTTTAGGGTTTCAGAAATACGCTGTTTATTAATGTTATAATAAAATATAACATTTTCACTCAGTTTTGATGTAACTTTCTTATAGGGAAAGCATTTTTAAAATCGATCTAGTTTCAAAGTCTATTCAAAGCTAACAAATAATCAAATATCATTAAGTACTAGCTTTCTCCTGCGACTTCGTCCGCGTGGAATCGAAAAAACAAAAGTAGATAGCTTACGTGTTCTGCCAGAGTATCCTCTACATCTATGACAAAAAGATAATAAATACCCTTTTCTTATAAGGACGGGATGGGAAGGGAAAGTGGATTCGACGGTGGAGGAGATGCATAGGAAGGGGAAGTATCCTCTTTATGTGCGTCTCCTCTGTTAAGGGTAGGCAACGCGTCTGCAATTGCGGATGTCTATGGGCAGCGGTCGCTTCGCCATTTTCGCGGATTCAGGTGGCCGCTTGCTCGTTTGTCAACTTATGTTATAAAAAAGATGACATAGATCCGTTCAGCAGTTGAGGCAACAAACTCTAAACTCTATCTAAACTTTCGCATTTATCTTTACTAATGTTATAAAGATGAAAGATTTGTATTTTTGTATTAAAATAACTTTAAAATTACTTGTCCTTTTTTAAACATTCTTTGACCATTAGAAAGGTAATTTATCTTTAAGTAATATAGAGCATATTTTTTTTATTTCACTCAAAGTCTTGAGCAAACACGGAGAAAACTCATCTTGCAACACTTTCCTAAAATTATTTCCCGAAGTGTTTAAACTTTACCCCTGCAGTACCTTGTGTAATCCCGTTTGCAGTAAGTTTTGCCGTCCCTGACGAAGCACGTGCAGGATTCATCAAGGAACTGCCTGCACTCCTGGCACTTGAGGCAGGCTGCGTGCCACTCGAGGTCGGGAGCCACGCGCAGGATGTACTGGTCGTGGATCTGGCCGCCACAGCCCACGCATAATGACAGGCGGAGTTTCTCTAAAAACAGAAAAGAGGTTGAGGTTACTTCTATGCTAGTACTAGATGTTGCTTGCGACTTCATTCGCGTGAAATTAAGAAAACAATAAAAAATACACATGTTATTGATAACATAGCTTTTTAATGGTGAAATTTAAATCGGCCCATTAGTTTTTGAGTTATCTCAATACGAAGAAAGATCCAAATATTTCCTTTATATTACTAGCTTACACCCGCGACACCGTCCGCTTGTTAAGAAAACAAAAGTCAGTATCCTATGTATTCTTCCAGACTACCCTCTACATCTGTACCTAATTTCATCGAAATTCGTTCAATCGTTTAGACTTCAAACTCTAACAAACATCCATCTAAACTTTCGCATTTATAATATTAGTAAGATAGATTTTTTGCATCGAATTTCCTAATATAAGGGGTCCCTAATAACCTCGAGGCTGTTGTCCCAAATTAAAAGGAATAATACGAATTAATAGTGAAACATAAAGGCATATAACAAAGGAATTATGAATATATTATACATCGTGGCGAAATCGATAAGTTCTGTGGGCGTGTTGCAGTTTGTCCCGCCCAACTGACGGACAAAGCTCTATCCGTCTCATCTTCTGTCCCTTTCTAACTTGTAGCTTACAATATAAGGTAAAATAATTATAAGCAAATAAACAGTGATTAAGATTCACAAATAACTTAAATAGCATCGTTAAGTTTGCGGTTTCACTTTGATAAGTTACATTGATTATAGCTTTCGTCTGCGAATTTTCTAGAAAAGAATTTAAAAATGTAGAAAAAGGTTTAGAGAAAATTATTTATAGCTTAAATCAGCTATTTTCCTGTCAAAATATGTTCAGCTGTTTTTGATATCGGAACAAACGTAGCTTAAAGTAGCGTAGTTAAAAATCGTTTTTTTGATATCTATTTGATTTTGAGTACGAAATCTGTTTTTGGTCCGTAACAAACATTTCAATTATCTATACTAATAATATAAAGAGGAAAGATTTGTATTTTTATATGTATTGAAATAACTCAAAAACAATTGGGTCGATTTTAATAATTATTTCACCATTAAAAAGGTAATCTGTAACATAGGCTATATTTTTTATTATTTTTACTTTCACGGGGACGAAGCATTTTATAGATTGATGGATATCATATTATCAATTTATATTACAGGGATTAGAGAGAATTAATAAACACTAGTTTTCGCCCGCGACTTCGTCCGCGTGGAAATAGATAAATCGAAATCGAGTAGCCTAAATGTTCTTCCACACTATCCTTCACGTTTATACTAAATTTCATCGAGATCCTTTCTGTGGTTAGGCTACAAACTCTAACAAACATCCAACAACTTTCGCATTTATATTATTAGTAATATCAGTGAGATAGTGAGATTAAATTGATTTCTTTTAGTATTCAGTAGAAAACTTTCTTGTCTCTTGTCGAACGCGATTTTAAGAACATCGGCGTCAAGGGCTGGAAGCAAAAGGCCCAAAATAGACAGAAGTGGAGAGATTTACTGGACCAGGCCCAGGCCCACCCGCGGCTGTAGTGCCTCAGAAGAAGAAGAAGAAAACTTTCTACCGCTGTCCATAGAGATCCAGAAAAGAAGATCCTACTTTAAATCGACTGAGGGACGCACAGAAAGGACATTTCCCTCCCATCCACTTCCATAATATCTATAATTTTGTATTACATTTGATTTTTAACTATTGCTATTAATGCTTACAAAAACTTTGTTTTCAATGTTAAACAGATAATCAAAGATGTAATCTTTTCGGAGCATTAAATTTACAAACAGTTATACGCTACACATTAAGTTACAACTTGTAAGTAGGTCTTGCTTTAAGAAATAACTCGAGCTTGCAGCTAGTTTTTGCTGTAATTAACCCAAAAAGTATAGACAATTACGATTGTTTAAATTTAAAGTGGGTTCCGTATGTAATTGTTTAAGGTGAAGGGAAGAAAGAATCTTTATATAAATGGGAAGACATTCAATTTGTGTAAAATCTATATTGGACCTGTAATTTTGTAACTGAATGGCCACTGTTTGCCTTGTAGAGGCATTTACAAATTCACCGTGCTTGAGGTGGCCGAGCGCAGATGGCGCTTAGCCTAAACCTCGTTTATGAGTATCTAAACTCGAATGCTCCCTCAGGAGCCTCGGCTCGGGGCGTTACATCATTATTATTACCGGATTGGGAGGCCACCGAGCTTTTAGATCGCTTCGGTGGACGCTCCAGGGAGTGACTAGGCACAAGGGCCCTCGGGAAGTTACCTAATTTAGGTGTTTCTATAATTATCTTTGAAAAAAAATAATATGACTTTTTTTGGATATGCATTTCTGCATTAGAAAGATAAAATTATATACTTTCTAGCTGTAAAAACACAAAACGAAATGTTAACAATTTTGGATAAACTGTAAAATTAAACCGAGTAAAATTATTTTCTGTAATCTAAAAAATATAAAATACTAACTTTCTTTCGCGACTTCGACCGCGTGAAATAAAAAAAAAACAAAAATGAGTAGCCCATGTGTTCTAGACTATCCTCTACATCTATACCAAATTTAATTGAAATACGTTCAACAGTTTAGGCTACAAACTCTAACAAACTTCCATCTAAACTTTCGCATTTATAATATTAGTATGAAGTATGATGGTTTTTACTACTAGTACTAACAGATAATAAACTACTAGAAACGATTAGTAAATTAGTAGAACGAGTTTTATTATAAAAGGTGTATAAAATCGAATAGATTTAGAATATTAGATACATGGTTCTTTGTCCATTGTTTTACAGAACCCTAAATAATAAAAATGAATGCAGTTTAAAAGCATCTTGTGGACGATAATTAAATATAAGGAAACTGAACAATGTGAGAATAAAAATGTAATTATCTTCATTTAATAAAAGCAATTCTTAATACTTTAGAGTGATAATTAAACATTGTACCGATTTAATGTAAATAAAAAATCGCATTATTAAGATTCTCGTTATTTCAACTTTATACCGAAGTGACTGTATTTTGATAATTTTAATTACAAGTAATAATAATAATAGATATGGGATTGTCGTTTCGTTCCACGGGCTAATAGCGAAGAGCTTCGACCAACATCTCAAGAAGCTCTCGCTAGACAGTTGGATTAAGGGCCCGATTCCAAAGGCAGTTATTTTAGAAACCGCACTTATTGTGAGGTTCCTGTCTCTGCAGCCCTGATCACTGGTTGCTTGTGTCATCGGATTCCGCAGACAGTGGTGTGCTATTTTTAACATAATTATGTTTTATATTTATATATATCCGAGGGCCTAAATTTAGTTCCTTTTCCTTTCCTACCCTTTTCTTGACAGGAAAGGATGGGATAGAAAATTGGATTTGACGGTGGAGGAGACGCATGTCCTCTTTATGTGCGTCTCCTCCTTCTTCAATTAAGGGTAGGCAGTGCATCTGTAATTGCGGATGTTTATGGGCTGTCGCTTTTCATTTCGGTGGATTTAGGTTCCGCTTGCCTGTTTGCCATCTTATATCTTACTTCTTACTAATCTTACTAATATTATAAATGCGAAAGTTTGGATGGATGGATGGATGGATGGATGTTTGTTAGCGTTTGTAGCCTAAACGGCTGAACGGATCTCCATGAAATTTGGCACAGGTTTAGGGCATAGTCCGGAAGAACACATAGGCTACTTTTTATCCCGGGAATAGTTACGGTTCCCTTAGGATGCATTAATTTAGTTTTTTAATGTTTACTCGATCATTCTGCAACGGTTCAACATATCTTATTGAAATTTGGCACAGATGTAAAACAAAGTCTGGAGTACACATGGGATAAACTTCATCCCCGAGAAATGCCCATTCCCGAGGGATACTTAGCTTTAATTTAAATAGTTCGTACGTTTTCTAATACCACGCGAACGAAGTCGCGGGCAACAGCTAGTTATAAAATAAAGCCTTACTAAACATTTCCTAAACTTAATAACTTAGCTAACAGAGGATCTTGTATTGGATTTTTTTTAATTGCAATCGTAAAGAGCGACCGACTTCCTTGGCACTCGAGAATCCGGCCAACATGCGGATGCACTGCATCCTTACATACCTGTATGTCACCATCAATTGTGGAATACGCCAGTCAGGTAACTTACTAGAAGTTACAAGATAAGTGAAGTGAATAGTGAGAAATATTAACAATATTTAGTTGTAGACAGTTTATAAATTGTCGAATCGAAATTGTCAAATTGTGATCTTGTTTTTCTCATATTGTGAATAGGAAAGATTTGTATTTTTGTTTATATTGAAATAGCTCAAAAACTACTGGGCCAATTTTATTAATTCTTTTACTATTAGAAAGGAAATTTATCTGTAAATAACATAGGCTAACATTTTTATTATTTTTTTAATATCACGGAGACGAAGTCGCGAGCAATAGCTAGTTAATAATGTTATTGTCGTTTGTCATATTACTTTGTCTAGTAAGATGCTAAAAGGACTAAGTTAATAAGCGGTCGATGGCACATACTTATGTGTGTGTATGTGTGTGTGAGGCCGGTTTAAAAATGCGAGCGATAGAATTTATTGTGTCAATAATGGGCAGACCCCGTCGCTGTACTTATAGGGTTGCTACCATAGCGTTTAAATTATTTTTTATTTTACTAACTTATTTTGTATTAATTAATAACTTATACAATATTATAAAGAGGAAAGATTTGAATTTTTGGATGTATTAGATTCACGCAAAAACAACAGGGCTGATTTTAAAAATTCTTTCACAATTAGGAAGGTAATTAATCTGTAAGTAAACTATACTATTATAATAAAGCGTAAACACACACTTCTTTGTTGCCTAAGATGTCAGTAAATACAATATGTTTTGGAATAATTATTTTTTTAATAAAAAGCGCTACACTTACGTCACGCTTTAGGCTACATATTTAGGGGGTACATATTTTGGATAAAACCTTAATGTGGGAAAGAGACCATAAGTTGCTGCCAACATCAAGAAAGAAAGATTGCT